CCCTTAACGCAGAGTCATTCTTCTTTTTTTTTCAGTTCGGTCCGAATTATTTTCTCCAGCTGCTGGCAGATTGGGAAATGTGTCATGCTTCAAGACAAAACATTCTTTGTGAGGGTAAACTACTTTGAGATTTGTTATTTTGTATGGTGACCATATTTTCTTTGTTATTTATCTGACTCTTGGACCTGCTAAAAAGTCGCCGATTAAATCCTGAATGATTTTCAAATCTCAGCTGAGTTTGTAATGTACGAATTCTACATTTCGTCAAGCTTTGACTGATGACCTGCACCGGCAACTACGCTCATTCACTTAAAATGCAACACATAGTATTCAGATATTTGTATAATCATAACGTCGCCTCAGATTGGCAATGACTTTCCACAGCTCAGCAATGCTGACCCTTTATACGGAATCTAATCTGCTCCCTCATTTGTAAGGGAAATGCTGCACAATTTATAGAAGGGAGCCTGTGACATCTACGGAGAAAAATCATAGAGGAGTAGCTAATTTCATGCCTTGTATTTTTTTTTCTGTCACGCATGACTACTTCACGGTGGAGGATGAAATGCATGCGCTGTGATCTCTGCGAGTCCCCTGTTTACCTGGATCCAGATTGGCCGTGCTTGGGCTACGGTACGCAGGCATGTCCCTATTACCATATACTTTCATATACTGCCGCTAATCCACAGAGAGCGAGATAAAAACCAAGGGTGACACGGTTTGTGACGGTTCCATTTCGGTTTTGACAAGGAAAGAAATGTAAATGACTTGGCAACAAACAAAAGGAAAAGCAGTCCGCCACATTTCGCGTGTTAAAACATCGACTCACATTCGGATGGTAGACGCTTTGGTTATCTGTCTTCTCTCTCCATCTGGCTGTATGCAATTTGGCAAAACAATACACAACACAGTCACAGTCAGTTTTTCTCATATTCAAATGTTGTCACGACAGTGTACTTGTTGCTTTGCCTCAACCCAACCCCTCCCACGCCCCCCCCAAAAAAAGAAATTCGGGGGAACTAGATCATATGGTTTGTTTTTTTTTTTGAAAACGGTGAAAATGTTAAAACGCTCAGTGGAGATTTAGCCAAGCTCGCCACCAAGACAAAGTTGGTGGTGAGCTTGTCGGTTGCTTTTGAAGGTGCGTCTGTGTGAACACAAATGTCGTCGTCCTCAAAACTTTTCAAAAGAAAAAACGTTTGCTCTAAATAGAGATTTGAGAATTGGGGGATGGACCGCCTCTGGTATGAATGGAGATGAAAGCACAGGTTTGCAAAGGAAAAAAAAAAGAAAACATAAGTGGTGTTGCGGCTTGGGGCTGCAGTTGGAGTGGCATCTTCCGAAAGGCGACAGGCAAGCATTTTACATATACAGCTCTCGGTGTGTTTGCCTGTGATTGGATTAGTTGCCTTGAGTCCGCACTCCATCACCGAGGTTCTATTTTAACACGTTCCCTTCTCGAGGATAAGTGTGAGATGAGCGACACTGTCTTCCAATCAGATCTATGAACAGATCAAACAAAAAACAATCAAAGTGTGTTGCTGAAGGCAATGAAGTTGAGATTGTCTTTGTGACTCCAACTCACTTATGACTCGGGGGGCTGTTATTTTCTTATGAGCATCGCATGTTGTCTGAATATAAGACGTCGCAGGAGCAGTAACTCAGAATCAGAATCGCCTTTATTGTCATTGTATAGCATACAACGAAATTTGGGTGCCACTCAGTGCATTTCGAAAAAAAAATAACTACCATTACATGCATGAATTGAGTGCAGACGTGTATTACGCATAGCATTAAAAATTGGAAAGCTTACATGTAGGTTCCAGTCGAACAACCCAAAAGGGATTCGGACTTGCCACATGAATGAAGAAAGATGGATATCGACGTCCATAAGAGACGCTTGGGCTGTGTGGTGCATCGATCTCAATTCTTTATTCTGATATGGCAGCAGGGTCTATAATCCTTCCACTCTAGCCCAAGGCCGAAAAATCAGCCGTCATCTACAAAGTCACCGTCCATCCCAAAGGGAAACTCTCAGTACAGATTGCATCAAAGGCAGAATTCAAATGGCATAATCAAAAGTCACACAAATAAATGACTCCTAAAACCAGTACGGAAAGAAAAGGATCAACAGACAAGATTAGCTTGCACATGATTCACTACTCTGTACTGAATGAAAAACTGAAACTTTTGCTGCACCTCTGAGGTCCCTGCCCTTAACGCAGAGTCATTCTTCTTTTTTTGTTTTTTTTTGTTTTTTTTTTAAGTTCAGTCCGAATTATTTTCTCCAGCTGCTGGCAGATTGGGAAATGTGTCATGCTTCAAGACAAAACATTCTTTGTGAGGGTAAACTACTTTGAGATTTGTTATTTTGTAGGGTGACCATATTTTCTTTGGTGACTCTTGGACCTGCTAAAAAGTCGCCGGTTAAATCCTGAATGATTTTCAAATCTCAGCCGAGTTTGTAATGTACGAATTCTACATTTCGTCAAGCTTTGACTGATGACCTGCACCGGCAACTACGCTCATTCACTTAAAATGCAACACATAGTATTCAGATATTTGTATAATCATAACGTCGCCTCAGATTGGCAATGACTTTCCACAGCTCAGCAATGCTGACCCTTTATACGGAATCTAATCTGCTCCCTCATTTGTAAGGGAAATGCTGCACAATTTATAGAAGGGAGCCTGTGACATCTACGGAGAAAAATCATAGAGGAGTAGCTAATTTCATGCCTTGTATTTTTTTTTCTGTCACGCATGACTACTTCACGGTGGAGGATGAAATGCATGCGCTGTGATCTCTGCGAGTCCCCTGTTTACCTGGATCCAGATTGGCCGTGCTTGGGCTACGGTACGCAGGCATGTCCCTATTACCATATACTTTCATATACTGCCGCTAATCCACAGAGAGCGAGATAAAAACCAAGGGTGACACGGTTTGTGACGGTTCCATTTCGGTTTTGACAAGGAAAGAAATGTAAATGACTTGGCAACAAACAAAAGGAAAAGCAGTCCGCCACATTTCGCGTGTTAAAACATCGACTCACATTCGGATGGTAGACGCTTTGGTTATCTGTCTTCTCTCTCCATCTGGCTGTATGCAATTTGGCAAAACAATACACAACACAGTCACAGTCAGTTTTTCTCATATTCAAATGTTGTCACGACAGTGTACTTGTTGCTTTGCCTCAACCCAACCCCTCCCACGCCCCCCCCAAAAAAAGAAATTCGGGGGAACTAGATCATATGGTTTGTTTTTTTTTTTGAAAACGGTGAAAATGTTAAAACGCTCAGTGGAGATTTAGCCAAGCTCGCCACCAAGACAAAGTTGGTGGTGAGCTTGTCGGTTGCTTTTGAAGGTGCGTCTGTGGTTTGTTTTTTTGAAAACAGTGAAAATGTTACAACGCTCAGTGGAGGCTTAGCCAAGCTCGCCACCAAGACAAAGGTGTTGGTGGGGAGCTTGTCGGTTGTTTTTGAAGGTGCGTCTGTGTGAACACAAATGTCGTCGTCCTCAAAACTTTTCAAAAGAAAAAACGTTTGCTCTAAATAGAGATTTGAGAATTTGGTGATGGACCGCCTCTGGTATGAATGGAGATGAAAGCACAGGTTTTGTGAACACAAATGTTGTCGTCCTCAAAACTTTTCAAAAGAAAAAAATGTTTGCTCTAAATAGAGATTTGAGAATTTGGTCGCCTCTGGTATGAATGGAGATGAAAGCACAGGTTTGCAAAGGAAAAAAAAGAAAACATAAGTCGTGTTGCGGCTTGGGGCTGCATTTGGAGTGGCATCTTCCGAAAGGCGACAGGCAAGCATTTTACATATACAGCTCTCGGTGTGTTTGCCTGTGATTGGATTAGTTGCCTTGAGTCCGCACTCCATCACCGAGGTTCTATTTTAACACGTTCCCTTCTCGAGGATAAGTGTGAGATGAGCGACACTGTCTTCCAATCAGATCTATGAACAGATCAAACAAAAAACGCAGACAAGTTCAACCGTGTCAGCCCTCATGTGCCGTATCGACCGCTCAGACTCAGTTGTGTTACATTTATTGAACGTGAAACGGAGCGGGAAATGAGCTTGCGCGACAAATGCTCCAAGTGGTGTTCAAATCCTTCGCCTGACTTCGAGGACTCCAATTTGGAGCGATTCGTATCTGCACTGCTGGAGACAACACCGACGCTCGCTATCAGCCTCCCTCATCGAGAAACAGCCTCTGGAGATTAGGAGGCGTGCGACGTCGCCTCTGCTGCCGGCAATGCCTTTAATGTCCTTTTACCGACTCTCAAGGTCACAGCAGAATTCCGAGCTGCAGTTTGTAGCGTTGAAAGTCACGAACGCAGCATGAAGCGGGCTTTATCTTCAGTAAGCACATGCGGCAGGCCCGAGTAATTACCTCAAAGTGAAGTTCACGTATGAGCATTTGAATAAGCTTTGCCGCATATTTACCCTCGCCGCGTCAAGCGCTCAAAGGACAACAAAGCCATTTTCACTTAATGAATTAATCACTTCTGGGCCCGGCCATTTGAACTCTCATCTCGATGGCGTTGAACCACCTTGAATGCACTATTCGGGTTGGATAGAGTCCAAAACCCAGAGGTGAAAATAATATGTCAGACCGCTTGTTTGCTGATGCAAAGCGGCCCTGACCGGCCAGCGCTGGCTCGATCAAGTGCAGACTGCTAATGCTTCCTCCTGCTCTCACACACACGGACTCGCGCTCAAGCACACCCACGCGCGAGAAGCATACACGAGCATACAAAGCTACAGCATCATGCAAGATGATGCAGTGTCTTTTTCATGCAAATCAGATTCCGCCGTTGTAGATGCAAATACAAGCAGGTATCTTGTGAAAGCCTTTTGAGAATGGATTGGGATTGCCTGTCCTAAAGAGGGGCCAAGTTTGTGTGTTTCTGCCATCTAGTGGCCAAAACGGGACCTCTGGCTCACCACCAACCTCATTTAATGGAGGTATAATGTAAAATTGACTTTTTTAAAATTCTGTGCATACAAATAATTTGGTCTCTGGAGTGCGAGTAATTCGTTATCCACCTATTTCCGAAAATGGGTCTTTGAGCGAGTCTTTCCGCTTCACATCATGTCCGCCCTGACGCGTTGTGATAGAACTCAAAATCTTGCTCGGCGCGTACAGTACAGCCCGTGACCCTGCCTATGAATTGAACTCTCTATTTGCAGAGCCTGCAGTTTATTTTAGTAATGTCCCCGACTTCTCGTGACCTCTTTTGGCTTGCTTCCTCTGGACTCCATTCTGGTGCTGGCAAAAGGGAGTCACACTAGCCAGGAGGGTCTGAGGTCTGGGAGAACCAGATTAGAGTACAAACCCTGGCTTTGATCACACACTTTTTTTATAGGAGAGTTTAGAGGACAAAACACACTTTGTCACAAAGCTCGGCTTGGTTGGTGCTGCTCGTACTTTTTGGGTCATCGGCTATGTATTCTCAATAAATACAACACGAAACAATCTTCGCATTCTGCAGTGCTCCATATCTATTTCTTTCCATTCCGCTTGGTCATTGCTTAGGAACAAGTGAACAGTTGCATAGCGGAAAGGTTCAGATTTTTGCCGCATAATCATGTTTGACAGGAAAGGAAAATGTAGCACGTGTGGGGTAAGTAAGCATTATGAGATCATCACATCAGGTGAAAGACCGCAGTGCGACACATAATGAGGAACGTGTCACTGCGGGATTGCATCACTTGGTTTAACATGCTGTGCCTCTTGTGATTAGCGCCCGCTCCACTAGCTCCGTTTGTACGTGTGAGGTGTATATATGGATATCACGCACGCATGTGAACGTGGACGCGATTTCACCGGCCTGGAAACTGGCTGCTGGACCACGTGGAGTTTTCATTTCCTATTTGATCCCCATGAGCGGCTACAAGGCTCTTTGCTCCGTCTTCACGCCCCTTTTCCCCGTGCTTACCTGTGAATAAGCCTGACATGAATCATTTTTGACAGAGCTTCGCTTTGGAAACAATCGGCGAAGAGGTGACTTTTCATTTCATTTCCATAGCTGCAGCAATTGATGAGTTTATATGAAGCGGTGTGGGTGTTTGTTTGACAGCGGGACAACAATGACTGCTCAAGTGTTTACTGGCTGGATGAGTAGAAAGACAAAACGTGTTTTTCCATCACATGTAGATGACGTTAAACAAGTCAAACCATTACTGCATGGTATGGATGTTAAATGAGAGCCAGGGATGTTTTACACTCAAACACAGCAGATATTTTGTATGTCCAAAGTTTGATGAGATCAGGGCTCTTACATACCAACCTCTAATTGATTCATTTTGGTGGAGAAAAAAAAAAAAAAAAAAAATCACACAATCCGCTAAGGTCAGTTTTGCAATAAATACTGTGCTTTGACTCTCATTTCATATCTGATTTCATGAATTCATTTCTGGTAATTCATCATCATCTCCTTTGGTCAGGCAAGTCCTGGAAAACATAACACTCTGCAAATCGATGATCCCTGGCAGTAATTACATTTACCATCGTCGATACTACCATGTGTCACAGTTCTTACAAGAGCACACATTGGTAAAGCTGTAGTTTGCAGAGGCTCTACGAGTCTACCACCGAGTGAACACCTTCGCCCAAAAAATATGTATTCCTCCCTGCATTTAAATAAATTCGCTTCCATGACCACGTAGGAGGAAATTTGGTAAGCAACCAGACAAAGTAGGACAGATCGCAGAGGCATTTGTACTCTCTTTTGGTAGATCATCATAATTAAAAGATACTGATGCATAGGTGAGTTGACAGGTCACATTACTACAACATCTGGAAGAAAGCTTTAACATGCTTGTTGGAATGAAATGAGCCTTCTTACCAGCAGTTTGCGCAGAGTCACGTTTCACCCCATCGCCCTCAGGTGGCTCCATCTGGATGGAGAAAGCACAGGTGAGTCGACAACAATTACAAACACAGTTCTATTTTACTCTACGCTGCTGCCGCTCCTCATTTTTCAACTTGCTTTGAAGTGTAGATTAACTGGAGATTGGAACCTTTTGCTGAAGGCTCAGAGTCACGTTTCACCTCATCGCACTCAGGTGGCTCCATCTGGATGAAAAAGCACAGGTGAGTCGACAACAATTACAAACGCAGTTCTATTTTACTCTACGCTGCTGCCGCTCCTCATTTTTCAACTTGCTTTGAAGTGTAGATTAACTGGAGACTGGAACCTTTTGCTGAAAAACTTGGTCGACCGTGATCAACGGCAACAGGCCAAGCCGCGACTGGTCCAGTGACTCATCCACGGTGGTCAAACCTGCCAACACCCGGTGAGTGTGCTTGAAAATTCAATATGCAGTGCTTTTTGGGTGGAGCTTCCGTCACCCGTCAGCGTGTGGAACATCAAGTGGATCGTGACGCCACATATCCTGAGGGCCTGCCTACAACCAACAGTTCAAGGAGGGATTGGAATTTTGCAACAGGTCGACTCGACTTCACAACATGGTCAGGTTCTTCGCACCACCCGGTGGACAAAATCAGGACAAACACGCACATGTTGAGGAGAAATGGTCATGAGCTTGCTGAGCAGGTGCCATTCCTGAGGGCCTGCCTACAACCAACAGTTCAAGGACGGATTGGAATTTTGCAACGGGTCGACTCGACTTCACAACATGGATCAGGTCCTTCAGCACCACCTGGTGGACAAAAGCAGGACAAACACGCACATGTTGAGGAGAAATGGTCATGAGCTTGCTGAGCAGGTGCCACTCTGCTGCCCGTTTACGCTCTCTCTCTCCCCCTGGTGCAACACACGATTCGAATGATCAGATAATCAGCGACGCCTGCAGAAGCTGGACTGCGATCCTGGAGAAGTGTGCGAGTGCAGGGAGACATCATCTCGGAAACCGGCCTTTGAGGACACGATTGAACACCTGGGTCGAAGACCAGACTGAAGAAAAAAGTTAGGAACAGACACTGCTGGAAAGTCACGTCATGTCTTGCACATTAAAACGTACAGCAATTAGGCAGACCAGTTTAGATTCGATTTGAAGATTTGTACCTGTGAACAGAAATGACACAACACGCACGCATCCAAATATTAATTGTGTGTCGTTGTGAATTTATGAATGAGTTTTGTCTCCTTACCCTCGGCAAACGTCGCTTTCGTCCCTAATGTTGGAAAAAGTTTAGAGCAAACGTTTGTTGCTTAGCATGTTAGCCTAGTGCGAGCAAAAGCGGTGTTTTAAGAGGCGATGAAAGAGCAAAAACTCACCTTGTGGACAGGCGTGCGGAACAGCTGGTGGACGAAGACGTGCGGAGGCTGTCAAAGGTGAAAAAGAACTAGTTGTCTGTTGTTCCGATTTAAATACGTTTCCGGTGATCGCATGTTAGCCTAGTGCGAGCACGTCCAAAGTGCTGCTTTCCATTCAAAGCGAGCAAAAGCGGTGTTTTAAGAGGCGATGAAAGAGCAAAAACTCACCTTGTGGACAGGCGTGCGGAACAGCTGGTGGACGAAGACGTGCGGAGGCTGTCAAAGGTGAAAAAGAACTAGTTGTCTGTTGTTCCGATTTAAATACGTTTCCGGTGATGACGTCACTTCCACCCACCCCCAAAAATAAAAAGTAAAAGGAGGTGAATGTGAAGATATTGTGTGAAAAAACGCGAGCGAAACGCTGAGGTTTCGCCTACAGCCAACATCGGGGCTCGAACTCGGGTCTGGCAGTCACTAATCGCTACCGTATACCACTGGACTGCGCCTGGACAGTGACGTCAGTCGCTAGCAGCTGGTGGACGAAGACGTGGGGAGGCTGTCAAAGGTGAAATAGAACGAGTGTCTGTTGTTCCGATTTAAATACGTTTCCGGTGATGACGTCACTTCCACCCACCCCCAAAAATAAAAAGTAAAAGGAGGTGAATGTGAAGATATTGTGTGAAAAAACGGGAGCGAAACGTAGAGGTTTCGCATACAGCCAACATCGGGGTTCGAACTCGGGTTCGGCAGTCAATAATCGCTACCGTATATCACTGGACTGCGCCTGGACAGTGACGTCAGTCGCTAAATACATCTTTTTATCAAAATAAAAGTCTGCGGGCATCGAAGTGCATTAAAAAAAACTTGGAGGATGGGGGTATTGAACCCGCTACCTCTCGTTTGCTGAACTAGCACTCTACGATTTGAGCTAATCTCAGGAGCGAAACGTAGAGGTTTCGCATACAGCCAACATCGGGGTTCGAACTCGGGTTCGGCAGTCAATAATCGCTACCGTATATCACTGGACTGCGCCTGGACAGTGACGTCAGTCGCTAAATACATCTTTTTATCAAAATAAAAGTCTGCGGGCATGAAGTGCATTAAAAAAACTTGGAGGGTGCGGGTATTGAACCCGCTATCTCCCGTATGCTGAACTAGCACTCTACGATTTGAGCTAATCTCACACGTATGCCCATCGACCTTGTGTTGGTCAGCACAAATGTATTTTGCTGGAGAATGCCGGCAAGGAAGTGTTCCAAAAGGTTTGGAGGATGCGGGGATCGATCCCGCTACCTCTCGCATGCTAAGCGAGCGCTCTACCATTTGAGCTAATCCCCCACGGGCACCCTGTCTGCCAACCGATCTTGTGTTGGACAGCGGACGTTCCTTGTGCTGGAAAATGCGGACATCGAAGTGCTCCAAAAGGTTTGGAGGATGCGGGCATCGATCCCGCTACCTCTCGCATGCTAAGCGAGCGCTCTACCATTTGAGCTAATCCCCCATTAGAAGCCTACTGCATTCCTTTTGCTCAAGGATGTCGGCATCAAAATGCTCCCAAAGAATTTTTACTTAATTTTTTTCCTCATTTTTTTTTTTTCCAGATTGATTTTGATTTTGACTTGAGATTTCCAGCCTGGAGACATGTCGTCTGTTGTTCGACCAGCCACAAGTAAACACTAGATGTAAAGGATTTCACAATAAAATAGCAATTAGATGACACCACAACCAAGAAAAGGAGTACCGTATACGCAGATGTTACCCAACAGCGCACACGCCCCACAATAGTTGTTTGTGGACAGAAAAATATGTTTCCAAACAGATTCTGTTTACTGACATCCAGCCAACATGCAAACCAGGATGTTTCCAAGCTGGAAAGCAAAGAAAACATCCACGTCGATTCTCTTGAGTTAAGGTTTCAACCTGCAGATCCACACAAAGCGTCTCAGTGTTTCAAACCGCCTAAGGAATGGGATAAATCCAAGACTGCATAATCCACAAGATTTAAGGTCCGCTGGTATTTTTTGTGTGTGTGGGCAAATCCGGCAGGTAGACCGGCTCAAATACACACGAGCATTGATGCACTGTGTGTTTGGTTTGTTTGCAGGCAGTCTGCATGAAGGCATGGAGGTTATGGGTGGTGGGGGCGCTGGCTGGTTGTGTGTGTGTGTGTGTGTGTAGTTTTTTAAACAAGGCTACGCTGTTTGCATCTCGGCGCGGCCTGCGGTACACCTACAGGAAATCTCGTGTTGCTGCCAGCCACTCAAAGTAAACACATCTGGAGGCACCCAGCGGCCACCTTTGCTCCGCTCAATCGTTTATTTTTGTGCACTTTCACAAATCCTTGTGAAAGGAGTCACGCTACACCGATTCTGGTCACTTTGGCTGCCACCGCAGGTTGTTCTATAGTTTCAAACCTCTCCCCTCCTTGGCTGACAAACAAATAAATCGATATTTTATGAGAATCATTTGCTTATGTTTTCCGAATAAAGTCCTTTTGTGGCATCCCAAAAAGTTGTAACCTTACAAGAATCAAGTCGTGCTTGCAAAAAAAAAATGTCTTGCAACGTAATGTAGTGAGAAAAGGTGAGCTTGACACGAAACAAAAAGTTGCGGTTAATTGTCTGTTTTCGCTGAGGCTGCAATGTGTTGAACATGTGTTTGGCTCGCCTCCCTCACGACGCTCGTCTGCAGTCGCCAACATCGGACCAACTAAGGCTTTCTCTCATGGAGTGAACAGAGAGGAAGTGATGGCCAACATTAGTGCGCGCCATTCTGCTAATTGTGTCCCACTTGCGCAACGCCATGTTGTCCTCCTCGCCGGGTGGGCATCACGAAGCGGGAGAATTAGAGCATCTCTTTGCCTAAGCTTATGGATTTCCATTAGCGTGACCTTGGAACATTAAATCTCAGAGGTATTTAATCCTCACCGAAAGCACAACACGACCACCGTGATCAATGTTTCCACTTCACGGTTGAACTCTGGGCCAAAGAACTTTGACCCCGATAGTTTTCTCAACACCATGTACATGTTTAATGCATATGACGAATATTTGTGTGCGTTTTTTTTTTGTGTGTGTGTGTGTGTGTGTGTGTGTGCATTGTAAGAGTTCCCCCGTGGTTTTATTGTTGTTAGCAGGTAGGACGCAGACCGAAGTTTTCCCACCACGAATCTAACTGCTTGAGACCTGATGTAGCCGAGTACGCGTTTATACGACGACGACTCAGAGAAAAAGACCGCGTTGAGTTATTTTTTCCAACGTATGTCAGGCAAACAGCCCCATTAGTTCTCATCAAGCGAGAGAGCGACGTACAAACCGCAGGGTCACAGATCATTAAGCGCGAACACCCCACCCCTCCCCACACAAGAGCCTGTTCCACTTTCTTGAACTTTAGCATTTTCAAGTGCAGAAAGAAGAAATGGCAGCAAAAGCATGATCAATGCACTTTTTTTTATATATATATATATTTCTTCAGCATCATTTCAACAACAAAAAAGCATTGCAGTACAACACAAACACAGATGGATGAAGCAATGCAAGTTCTTCATTTTTTTTTTTTTTGAATGTGGTGCCTTCATGTCAGTCCAACACGTGCACCATGTTTGATAGCTTAAAAATAAAAAGAAACAGAGCGATCAGACAAATAAATACTGTACAAGACCATCGATGTCAAACTAGATTCAGAAACCACAAAAATGATCATGCTTTTGTCCATATTGACACTTGATCGGGCCATCTTTGCAACATCCGTTCATCAATAAATCTTTTGCATTTCTATATACAGTACAGACCTTAAATAAAGTGCCTTCCATTTCAGATCAGTTCCTGAAGAAAAAAAAAGGGGATTTGGAGCCAGCATCCACAGAAAGAAGTAGATCAGATAGAAAGGAACATTGAGCAACCGAGAGTGTGTGTGTGTGTGTGTTTGAGCAGGAACAGGAACGTCCTTTCTGTCTGATCACCGCAATTGAGCGCACATCCGAACGAAAAGCGTCTTCTGATCTGGATGACCCATGCCTGATACCGCCGGCTTCTTACCAAGTCCAACTGTCGAGGTAAACGGACGACATTTTTTTCATGGCACTTACTTTTGGAGTCCCCCTGAGAACGTGGTCGAGCAGGGGCCGCCAACTCCGGTCCTCGCCGAGACCCATCCTGCACGTTTTGGATGCCATCTTTTGAAATCAGGTGTGCTGGAGGAGGGGAAATATCTCAAACCCGCAGGCTATGGGCCGTTCGAGGACTGGAATTGGTGACCCCTGCGGTAGAGACGCAAACACAATCGAAGCTTGGGAGCTTTGTTTCATACACACGCAGCAGAGAGAGAGAGAGAGACGAAGGAGGTCGGATGTACACAGGCATCAAACAGTGCTTTTCAACTCTTTGGCACCCACCTCATCTTTTTTTTTTCCTGGCTCTTAAAATAAATTGATCACCGTGACAAAGTGGCTGAATCCAAGAAAAATAATAATCTGACCACCACCATTCACACAAGCACAGCTTTTGAGCTCAGCTCCAAGTGATTTGAAAATAGGACTGTCTATTTGTGTGTGTATGTATATATATACATACATACATACATACATACATACCCACACTGTATGTATTGAATTAAGAGTGTAGCAGCATTGTTGTGAGTCAAACCAATCTGTACGTCTTCGTCCCCTTGTGCCAAGACTACGCAGAGCACAATCAGGATCTTGTCGTCCTTCAACACCATGACAGACGCTAGCAAGTGGACAACCGCGTATAAGGTGGTCCAATTTTTCTTCCTTCAAAGGAGCCTGTCGTGAGGAGATTGGGGAAGGTATTCTCTTGGTAATACATGACAATGGTTATGCGGCATGCGTGGGACACACGGTACGTGATGTTTCAAGGTAGGCCGTCATTTTGGCTGCAGTCCATCAGTACTCCCGGGCCTCCTCCAACTCATTCATGAAGACATCTTCGTGTGGGTTCTCCGGACACTTGAGTCCGTTATTGGGCGGCCGCACGGCATGGAAGCGGCTCCAGTCTCCCTTACATAGGATCCAAGGCAGCACGTCCACTTTGAAGTTCAGCTCCGGCGAGAACTCGGTGCTGATCAAGTTGGGCATGCCGGCGCCTTTGCCCCTGGTGATGAGGCGCCCGCGGTCGTCGTAGCAGCAGTGCTGCGCCGCCAACGTGGACGAGTCGCCGGAGAGCGCCGAGCGGATGCAGCCGCGGGCCGAGGGCTTGTAGATGTCCAGGCGCTCCTTGGGGCCGCTGGCGTCGCGCCATCGGAACGTCCGTCCGCGAGAGTCGTCGTGGACGCTGACCACCGTGTACGCCACCTCAGAGGGGAAGGAGCAGGGGCAGCTGGGCAGCTCCAGGAACGCCTGGCGGAGGTACCTCTGGAGAAAGTCGCTCTTGCAGTTCAGCCACTTTTCACAGCTGTCCGCATCTGCGAGCCGAGAGGACACCGGTCACAATTTAAGAGACGAGCGATTGGGAACAAATGAGTATCGCCCACTAACTGACCCGTTCCAAACGGCTCGGTGCCGTTCTCCATGTCGAAAGGGAACGGCTCGACCACGGTGTTGACTTCACCTGCGGAGCAGAGAGAGCGCTTGCGGTCGAACGTGCGGAAATGTCACCGTGTGCCATTTTTTTTTTACGCGGTGACGTGATCTCACCGGGACAAGGTTCCAGGTCACACTTGGAGGCTTCCGTCAGAGTGCAAGAGTAGCCGCACGACTTGGTCCTCTTCCTCTCGCCAGGTCCGCATGTGACCGAACAAGGAGACCACGGAGTCCACTCGTCAGTCTCCTTCTCTGCTGGAGTCGCAAACAGAGAAACTCAGACCAACGCGAGCCGTGCAGCTCTGCCATACTGCGTTTGAGGTTTAGGCTACATTATAATTGACACATTGACAGGAGCGAAGATGAGAGCGGCTTGGCAGTGAAAAACAGTCTATAAAAAGGATTTATGGAGACCGCAAACCCAAACATTTTCAAATTTTGTCTCTCGCGGTGAACTCGACGTGCACTTGAGCAGCGGAAGGCAGAACGCGTTCAAAGTTTCCAGGCCAGGCCATGCCATTCCATCGACGTGACCGTGACCATTTTCTCTTGATCTAACCTTTCCCATACTGAGCCAAATTCTTTTTGAGAGCCCCGAAGTGAAATTAGAGAGAGAAGCTGCGTTGCGGCTCTACGCGTCGGCACCACGTTTTCTTGTGGCGTTAATAACACTGAAAACAAACCACTCTTGATTAAAGGCGAAGCGGGTGCAGAAATACCAGCTTGGGTGTAGCGTGCATCCAATTTGACTTTGTGGGCGTTGCCACCTCGCCATGTGGCCGTACGGGAATGAGGTTTCAGGAGCGTCTTAATTACAGAAGAAGCTATGGCAGGCATCCTTGATTTATACGCGCTCTGTCTTTAGAAGTGACCACTTAATGGGCATTGTTGCCTCTGGCTGGCGCATTGTGTGTGTGTGTGTGTGTGCGTGTGTGTGTGTGCGTGTGTGTGTGTGTGTGTTGTCACAGCGAGCGAGATGTTTACAGGCTAAACATGTTTTTTGGGTACCTGCTTCAGCGGGATGCCACAACAACAATTTCAAATCTTTCCCTGCTATTTGTGCGTTGGGACACTGCCCCGAGGCAGGCAAATGGCTTGGCGCTTTTCGACGACATCCGCTTTTTGCCTCTCGTGACACTCGAGTACAGTACGTGTACGAGCTGACACAACATTTTCAGGCAAAACAGACGGGGGTGGGGGGGGGTAGCTGGAGAAGTTATGTGGAACCCAGCAGGCCCTCCCCCCTTTGGAAATTCTTGAACTGGCTCAAAAGGCTGAGCCGCGGAGGGCAGCGAGGGCCGTTCGGATGCTGGGGGAGCCCGTGGGGACCCGGGGAAGGATGAAAGGCCCATCGGAATGGCCCCTGTCAGTCTGCGTTCCCAATGTGCCCTCTAATTGTCCACAAGCAGAGGGCTGTTTTGTCTCTGAGAACAGTGGCTGCCTCACGCTGCCATTAGCGAGCGCATCGGAGGCTTCTTCAAAAGGCGACCATCGCGACCAGTGTCGACTTCAAAGCGGCCAGAAGCCGCAATGTTTGGATGGTCGAGCGCTCGTCCTGCCTCGCACGCCGACATTGTTTGCCGCTCTGGGACTGTTTGTCGTGCAGCCTTCCGAAAACCACTTTGCTTTTCGACACCGCTTGGCCGTTCCCATCATCGCTTCCTCTTTGTCCGGGTCCAAATTCCAAAATATCGCCTTTATAGGTTTTTTTTTTTTTTAAGTCTTGTCAAGAATGCAGACTCTTACCATAGTAGGTCTGAACCGGATCCCAGCCTTCGTTCCAGTAATTTCCCCAATCCCCACCAACACCACTGAGAGAGGGCTCCTCGCTGCCGTAGAGAGAATAATCATCCTCCTCTTCTTCACCGGTTTCCTCTAAGGTTGGTCGGCTGTTGCTGTCCTCGCCAGAGTCGGTGTAACTCCAGAAAAGAGGCCAGAAAAGCTTCTTCCCTCCCAGCCAGTCGACTGAGGAAGAGGGAGAGGAGGAAGATGACGATATCCAGTCGTTGTCCTTGGCCAGGTCCATCTCGACCTCCATCTGAGGGTCATCCACCACCTCAATGGTGACCTGCATCGAGACAGCATACACGACAAATCTAACGCACCTTCATCCGATTCACTCAGTCATCATGAAAATGTAGCCGAGTCATGAGACGGAAAGCCTTCCAAAATGGCTCGGGAGCCAATCCCATTGAAGTCATCACCCACGCAGCCGCTTTTCACAGTTCTAGAATTTGAACTGTGACCTCAAAGTTGCTTCGCCTCAACGTGTCATCAAGGAAGTTCAAGCGCATCAGTGACTGTTGAGCTTCACCTGTCACGATGTCGTCACGAGAAATGAAGCGTCCAATGACGACATCGTCAGGCATCCCCGCCAGGCTTGGATGCGCACAAGCCAGCCAGACATGAGCATTTAGGCACTTGAAATCATCCTCTCAAGGAGAGAATGTGAGCATTTGTTCCGAGCAACTACTTCTCATTACCTCTATGAGTCACCTTCGATGCGGCGGTGCGGATGGAAAGAGTCAGGGGGAAGTAACTTTTTGGTTCATGTTATTTGACAGTCAAGGATAAAACGGGACGAATGGCATTCGTGCCACTTCGCGACGCCCGCCTGCGCGAGGCCTACTTACGTTTCCAATTCCGCTGCTGTCGTGTTGCACGTCGACACATTTTGGAAGCGTTCATCAAAAAGGCTCCGTCCGGAATCAACTGAACTCACCTGTATGTTGGGGTTTTGGGAGTTCAAATCAGCGTTCGCCAGGTCTGGGAAGTTCTTCAAATCCAGGATGAAGGGCTTGGTCTCCTCCTCGGGTTCTGGCTGAGGCAGGACGCCGACAGAGCGGTGCTGAGGGTGGCTCCACTTTCTCTGATGGCTGTGGGGCTCCGGCACACTTTGCACCTGGTTCTGCTTCTCCAGGGCGTCGGGATCATACTGGATCCCGCCGCTGGGAAGCGGGTGGCCGTGACCCTGACGGAGCACAGAGAGAGGAAAAGCGGCCGATGTGTGAACAGTTGTCAGCATTCAGGATTCATTTCAGTGGCGATGCAAAATATTAGCCAACGCCGTACATGATTTATCTTGCGTTGCGCTTTAGCGACCCCCAGGACGCGCTCACAATGTTGTCATGAAATGGGATTTTCATCACGATGATCTGAATCCCGATGATTTCTTTTTCAGAAGCAATGTGAAAAATGCCAGCGCAGATTGCTCCTCAGAGACCCCGAGGCATCCGTCTCACCGGCCAAGTGACTAAACGGCCTTCGTGTATTTCATTCTCTTTTTTTTTCCCACAACAGTCATGGCATCCAGGCTTTGGACAAAGAGGGGTCTGTGCCAGAACGATCCTCTTTTAGCTTTAATGAGAGGGCCTGGGAGGCGTGAGACCCCCGCGCTTGTGTATGTGCCCGCAGCTACGTCCGCCACTTATTTTAACCTTACCGGAAGAATGAGAGGACGAGAATAGAATCAATGTCAATCACAATTCTGCACCGATTCATTTGTGCTACATTGAAAAATAAAATGCCGGAGAACCGACGTACTGTACATTTGTAGAACACCCCCCCCCCCTGTTAATTTAGATCTGTGTCATTGTGAGCACACTAAAGTGACTCAAACATATGAGGGGAGTGGAATTTGAAGATTGTACCAGTTTGTGGCCTACATAGGCCAGTGGTAGTTGAGGGGGGGGTGTGTGTGGGGGTGTGTGGGGGGGGGGGGGGGGGGGGGCGCTACACAAAGTCTGCGTTAATGACCAAATGGACGATGATTTACCGTCATGGCATCCAGAACAGGTCGTACTTTCTACTCAGTGCCTGTGATTGTCCCATAAAGCAGTTCACGTGGAGGGTCAAATGCAAGCATTTGAACACAAAAAGCCTGTTTAGTGAACAATCTTGTCAAGCATGATGAATGGCACACGAACAGAAGCCGCCCCCCTCCACGAATTTGGCATCAAGGTTTATGGTAGTCATGCACGGTAGAACTACAAATTCAGATCAAATGTGTATCTCTCCCCCTCACCTTCCTTCATTTCAGTAATCTGATTTGCCAACTGAGCTCCCATTCTAATTTGAAGCAAACACATCAAATTCTATTCGATTCCAAGCAATTCTTATTGTCGTAAGGTCCTAAAAAAAAAAAAACGTGAGGTGCTTCCTGCTCCTTTCTCATGCAATGGACTAATCCAGCTTCTAAACGTGAGTCAGGAGGAGAGTCACAAAACAAACACGCTGGCGCATTGTGAGGAAATCAAAGCCAAATGGAGCAGAGAAGGTGAGAGAAAAACAAACAGCGTTTCTCCAAAACCACCAAAGGCTTCAACGATTTCACCGTGACACTAAACGTTACCATCCGCAGCAAGAGCCACAAGCTCCTGCCAGTCGCAATAGCACCGCTCAAGTGTCAACTGTGGAGATAAACAGTGCAGATGAAGTGACACAAGTGACGCTTTTCATCATCAAGATGCATTCCAGCGATCAAAATGGTAAACAATATTGATTCATGTTCTTCGCAATTACAGTATGACACACTTTTTACATCGCCAAGAAGGATTAAGGAGAAATTCCGTAAATGCACACTTCAGTTGATGATCAGTAATATTCAAAGAGGGGGGTCTGCGTCGCCGTGGGAATGGTCAAATCACGGCCAATCAAAGCGACTCTTCTCCTTCCCATTAAATGTGATGCGCTAGTCAGGCCCTTGCAGCCTTGACATGGCAGCTCAAGTTGCACATTAACCCAGCTGTTTAAAAAAAAAAAAAAAAATGTAGCTCCAAGTATTTGGACAAATCAAGGCCTCCTTTCAAGCAAACGCCCGGCAATCAGCAAATGAGTATCGAAATCCCTCTGGCCACTATTACTTAGCGGTTATTAACATTGCATCACTGTCAAAGCTGTCTACTCGCACCCCTCTTATCTTCACACCTTTCATATCTACGGAGCCACATGCGAGTCTGCATGCTTTCACGTCTTGCTCATCCCATCCCGCTACACATCTGGATCCTGTGTTCTTTTACATTGTATATCATCCTCTTCCTCCCCCCTCGTCTTCTGTGATCCTTCTTTCCTCCTACATTCTGATCAAAGGCACAAAGGCTGACGCCATGCGGTGTGTTTAAGAGGAACGCCGTATGGATGCAGTCAGGGGGGGCTCTGCCTGGCCTCAAGACAGCGTCTCGCCTCACCCAAACCTTGTTTGAGGGATTCAGGCGAAAGGTGGCAAAACTACTCTCACTTTCCGAATACGAGTCAAAGCATAGATAGTTGTGTCAAAAAGTGTTCAGAATTGAGGATTGAAAAATAATACACCTCAGCCTTAATGGACGCTCGCAGTATTAAACGGTAACGCAGACAAACGAAGAAGAGTTTTATACAACAACTGAAAGTGACTCAGTGACTGTGCTATATTCTTGTGGGTGTTGTTACATTGTCTACATGTGTTGCTGCACCACGTGTTTTCAAATTATTTGCTTGTTGTTTATTTGTCTCTTAAAGCGTGATACCAATGCCGCATGGATGCTATTTGTAAGCCCATCTATCTTATGTGTTAGCATTAAGCTAGCTGACATAAAGGCAAAGTTATGTGGTTGTTTTGAATGCACAATATATTTAAATGTATTTGTCATTGTTTGATGTTTAGTTTGACAGGAAAAAAAAAACTAACTGGGAGTGGCGTTAAAGAGCTTGAAGTCTTTTTTTGTGGGGCGGGGTGGATTCTGACTTTGTGTTAAGTTCCTAGAAATGTTTTTGAAGATACACTCAGGTCAGAGAAAGGAAATGAAGATGGGATGAGTCGGGCAAACGTTGAGGTGAGGGATAAAATTGGAATCTTGAGGCGTGTGGAGAAGGCGAGCAGTGAGGCAGCTTTGATTTATGTGCATGCACATATCAAAGGGCTCTGTACTTGGCTCTTTCCAAACCATTACCGAAGAACAATAAACCGTTGCCCCGCCCCCTTTGATCCCAAGAGGGCAAAAAGTGAAAACAAACGGATGGCAGAATCAGGGCAAGGTCATAGAGGTCAGGATGGGAAAACAGACAAGGCCAACAGATCTCAATATTCGACTCAACACGCCTCCTCTTGTGTTATTTGGGAGGGGCGGAAAGGGGAGGGGGGAGACCCCAAAACAGGAAATTCCACATTAACATACAAAAAAAAAAAAAAAAAAAAGGCTAACGTAAACAATCGGATGAATGACACTTGACCCGAATTGCAGTGCGACAGATTCAGAGGTGTCACCTTATTCTGGTTACATAAGCATATCGTTACTGGGCTCCCACTTTACTCGGCTTGCCCTCCTCCTCTTTCCTCTACTAATCTCTCCATCCAGCACTTAGGGACACACACCCCGTTGGTCAGACTGAAGGTACAACTGCAGCCTTTTTTTGGGGGGGGGGCAATGGGGGCAACAGAGCATCTATGGGAGGCCACACAAGAAGGAGCGTCAAGTGAACCCTGACACAAACACACTTTGATCCAAAGAGCTCCACGTGCAACAAAAGATCTCTGCAATGGGGCGCCGAGCAGCTAAAATTGATGTGTTTGCACGCGTGCAAGAAAGAACGATGTACACGTTTAGAGTTGAGCGAAGGCAAACTTTGCTGTACATGCTAAGAGAGCTGAAACATTGGCGGGAGTCAGTGGACTGTGAAGGAATCTCTCAGCGGAGCTCATTTTATACATTTGATCTTTTTGTTGTTCAAAACAAAAAGCGGAACAAATATCGGCATATCCGTTTTATTCTAAAGTGAAGTCATGCATCAGATGAACGAAGAAATACAGTAGAAAGATGAATATCACTTGTAACAAAGTGTTAAGGTATGATTTGCGACAAATAATCTGTTTATTTACAGTAGTTCTGCCAGTAACAGGAAGAAAAATTAAATTCTCATCCATTCACTGAGAGATGATTGGCTCTGATTAACCTATTTCTGAATTCATGATTGGATTAAAAAAAGTTTTCATTTCGACGCTTTAATTTTAAAAAACATGACATTATCAATTGACAGTGCAGAAAAAGCGCCGGTCCGTAACATGCAAGGAAATAGGCCAAAATGTGATGGATGGAGATAGATAGACAGATAAATAGATAGATAGATATAAATAAACTGCTGCCGGGACGTTTTAGAGGGAATTTCGAGGACTTGTTCAACTTGAGACAACTTCCAGAAAGTGTCAAGCGTACCTTGTGAGCAGCATTCCTGTGTCTGCTTGGGAATCCCGTGGCCAAGCTCAGCAGCAGCATGGACAACATGACGAGCGACATCTGAACTCTCCTCACGACCTCCTGACGCATCTTCTTGGCGGACAAGGTTCTTCTGAAAACGTCCCCCCCGCCCCCGCCAAAAGTATTCAGAGGTCCTTTTTTTTTCTTTCTGTGGCTAAACTCGATGTGCGTTCGCCGTCTGCCAATCGCCGCGTCGGCGTGTTGACAACTTGGAAGATAAGCGAAGTTTCGGGCGAGCCAAAAGTGCGGCGTTTAATGAAGATGCGCACGCGTGTTGTCCATATGTGTCACCGGCTGCGTGTGCGTGTGGCGGCTGCAGCTCAACGCCTCTCTGCCCCATAAAACCACGCGGCTTTGGCACGGCTTTTAAGTAGGAGCACAAAGGAGCCAGATCACCTCACGCAGAAATCTCCCCGTCCGCACCGGCGACCGCTTATTCGACTACTTTAAACCGTGAGTCACTCCGACGTGGGTGGGTGGGTGGCTGTTTTCTTCCGACGCACGGACATCTGGAGCTCGGGGTTTGCGGCGCGTCTACGCAAACTGTCTGACGCGTGAATCCACGATGCCGTCGACGTTCATCCGCCGGAGCGCTTCGAGTTGGTATGTGCGCGCGCGCGCGCGCGCGCGCGCGCCGCTCAGCCATCCGATGTCGCTCATCGTGCCTTTTGACGCACGCGGTTTACTGGGCCGAAACTTTGGAAGTAGGGGGTGGGATGCTCATTACCAACAGTTGTGCGTGTGTGTGGTGGGAAGTAACGAATGACGATAACTTTGTCGCTCAAGTAGATCGCGTTCTTTAAGTCTATTTCTTTTTATTTTTTTTACAGCTTTCTGTACTTTTTGTTTTCGGATGACTTTTTAAAATGTATTTTTAAATGTACTAAATTTTTCCCCACTACTTTGTCAAAATAGACGAGTGCTGCCTAAGTTACCTCGAAAAGAGTAACTTTGTAACTAATTTTGAAGGCGAGTTACTATTTGGGACGGCATTTCATCTACGTCTCGACTTCCTTCATTGGTATGTACACCAGTGGCGGAACTAGACTTTTATCCTTGGGGGGGGGGGGGGGCTGTCAAAGCTGTCTCAGGGGCTCTGCAAAACAAAAAATTGGAAACGCATGATTAAGAATCAACATCCAATCCTGTAACATTTGAGATGCTTCCGTGGATGGCAAAGGGGTTTCTCAGTCATATGATATAGTCTTCAATCGACGCAGAGAGGGGGAGATGGTGAGCATGGCCTTTATCTGCATTTTCTTGGAGACAAGATTTAAGGATGTGGACTGCGCACACTCCCAACTGCAGAAAAAAAAGACAGCTCAGACACATCTCAAGGATTATCATCAAGTGGAAACTTGGTCATTACATCAAGGGGAGGAAACAAAAAAGAATAGAAGAAAATGGTGGCGGGCGTTGACCAAATCAGAAAAGACAGCCTATATTCAAGTCTTGCAAGCGGTCTTAAAACTCAAAACTGCCCCATTGATGTTGAAAGTCGAGCAGTATCTAATTCGCAAAATGTTTGTCAGCCTTAAGACGTGAAGATCAAATGTCTTGTGTTCTATTTTTTTCCCCCTCCTTCCATATCCAACTCGACGCAAAGGAAAAAATTGTATGCCTCATGCTCCGGCCACACAAGTGCACTGCATAAAACTCAAGTACAACGATTCACTCTTTGCCAAATAGCGGAGAAGGAAGAGGAAGATGCTTGCGGTTTGTTTGAGTGCTACTGTCACCTAGTGGTGTTTTAATGCGCTTTTCGTATAGTTCGCGAGTCCTTTTTCTTTAAGTAGTTGTCATTGCGATTGGAGCGTAAATGTGCACACATAGTTGAGTCAAAACACAATATTGGTAAGGTATGAGTAAGGTATAGTTGGTATTTAGTACAGCACATTTTCTGTGACCACACAGTTTATTCCAAAAGTTGATATACCAAGAAGTGATTTAATCTGTTTAGAACAGCATGATCGACAAACATCATGGCTTTACACTCTGCACAGAATGGTTTAAAATTCAAATCACATACAATTTCATGGGAGTATGTAACAGATAAGGAACATCTCATTCATCTCGATAGGTTAGTTCATATGAGTGGTTGCTGCCCCCCCCCCAAATTTAAAAAAAAAAAAAAAACATCGATTGAAGAGGTGTAACCGGTTGCGTTTCTCTATTTGACTGAGGGGGAAACCTGGCTCTGAGGAACAGACACGTTGCTGTTTGCAAAAGCCTTTTCCTCCATAAACATTGAACATTCTGCAGCGCTCGGCACGCCAACAGGACATTTTTCACTGGTAACACACGGTCTGTTTCACAACTGCAGCAGCCACACCAACGGCACATGTCGACTGGTGAAAATGCACCAGATCCATGATATGACAATCATACAAGACAAAAGTTCTACAGGTGTAGTAAACAAAAGTGACAAAAAAAGTGATACAAAAACCGGCCTAGACTTGTGTGAGATCAGCATGATGGATGTGACCAGAATGGTCAGGCTGGCTTGGCTTTACTGGACTCAGAATCCCATCGATAATTCAATAAAACGGCCCGTGTAAAACCCCCTAAGCAGAACGTCTGGGGACGGGCCCCATGCATACAGTGCGACGTAACAAAGACAGTGCGGCGAAGGCGGATCGAATTGGAATGCCGTTCTTTAAAACAATCACAGTTAAGGGGCATGGGGGGGGAAAAAAAAAACCTCCCAAAACGAACACATCTAGCACATGAAGCAGAACTCCTGCATATTTCAGTGACTACATCATCTGTGCATTCACAATGCCTGTCAGTAGTGCGAGCACTGAAGAAGAAATGTTAAACAGTTATTTCAAATATGCACACCCATGGGGATACATGTGAAGCTGCCTTTCGGATAACCACGACAATTTTCTCACGTAAAAACGGACAGCTGGACGAGAAGATAAATGTTTTCAATAAATAAAGCTGTATATCAGATAAGTGTGAGGGCAGTATCGTCATACATACAGTTCAAATGTACAATGTGACATGGCCAAATGTAACGCACAACAAAGAGGGGGGTGACCGAGGGGAAGGGGGCGGGGGTGGGGCGGGGAAACAAGAAAACAATGGACTCACGTTTTTTTGGGAGCAGGTGTAAACAGTAAATAAGGCTGCAAAATAGCTCTAGAAAAGAAGCAGTAAAAAATATTCTGTCGTTTTTCTTCCCGGGATCTTTTTTCCCTTGGTAATTGTTTTCTTTTGGAATAATGATTTTACATTTGAAGAGAAAGTTAGAAAATATATATATCTATGTCTCTATATATAGGTGCGTGTTTGCTTTGGTCAGGGAAAGAAGCTAATATTCTACACTCTGTTGAGGTCCAAGTTATTTATCTTTTTTTTTGCGGGTGCTTGCATGTGATAATATGTCTAACCCATATGGAGAACACACTTCTGTGAGAGGTTTGGAATGCTACCTGAGCAGCAAGACCGACTTTGTGAAGAATTATTTACATACACCACGTCTCTGTTCCCATCTAGTTTTTTTTTTTTTTTTTTTTAAGTGCACAAATAATGTCTCATGGCATACTTTTCAAATGCATCGGGGTGACTATTGCGCAAGCACCAAACACATTCAATGTGCTCAAGGGATAAAAGCTCCTGTCTCGATGCAGGCACAAGGTCGCAAATCAAAGGCTTTAAAGTTTCCGTACGGACACGGAATATGATGTTGGTCTTCTCCTTTTGGCGAGCAGGCTAACAGATTTGAAAATGTTGTCACAAATATGGCAATTGACCAGGGGTGGACATACATTTTCGATCCGCTGTCTTAAGCTCTGGTGAGTCCATTGAGGTTTGGAGTGTGCTGAGAAGAGGTCTGGAGAAGTGGTGCATCAGCAAAGCCGGAAGAGAGCTTTATGAGATTGGCGTATGAGTTCGGTACTTTCTACCGTCTTTGTTACCGATTTGCTTTACTGTTTGTTGTATATGTTAATTGCTCCATGTACAGCACTTTGGATGCAGCGATGGCTGTTTGAAAGTGCTCGATAAATACAGTTGAGTTGAGTGTTTGTATGCGTGCGCACACACGCATACAAACATATCTATAGGGATGGATTGGGGTGCAGAAACATTTGTGTGGCTCAGTCCTGAAGCTGGCTTTCCTCCGAAGTCCACCTGATGGGAGGAGGAGCCCGTTCACGTCTGGAGTACTTCAGCTGCAGCAGGTCGCCCACTTCATTCATGGCCTCCAATACCTGGCACGGCATCACAAGCAATGTTGTCATTCAGACTGCAAAGACGTAAACGGTCAGTGAAACGTTCCAACGCTCGGCGGACGGTAAAACGACGCCAATAAAACAGGTGTGAACTTTTGGCTATACGTCGGAGTGGCAAGCCTCACCGGCGCCTGAGCGCGAACATCTCAGTGTTGCAAAGGCGAGCGGCAGAAAGCCGCAGCCCGACACCAACTCCTGCATTTCTTCCCGCGACAAATGAACCGGCGCCGCAGCACTCCAAAGCACCTGGAAACAATTTACCTTCCCCCTGACCTTTTTTCCGACTCCGCGTCTTGAGCAACAGTAAGACCGGTTTTCCAAAGACGGAAAAAGCGGCTCCTCCAAGCGCTCTACAAAAGGCTTTCGCCCGCCCTCCCATCGGAGCTCTACACACGGTGTTGACATGCACAACGGTAAGATGAATGAAGTGCCTTTGGAGAGACGCAGCAGCTCGTATAAAAGCCTCACCTTAATACCCACAGACAGCTTCCAAGTGCTATTAAAATAAAAGGGCAAACTGGGAGTCCTTATTATCCAACGGGCTCACTCAACACACACAAATGTCAATCCGCTGTGATCCAAGCACATTTAGCGGATGAAAAACAACAACACTTAACTGTGTTATTGTAACATTGACAGCGCGAGGCAGTTCCACTGCTGATGAGAGAGGAGCGGGGGCAAAAAAAAAAAAAAAAAAAGACAACGAAAAAAACGCCGCTGTTGTTTTAACATCATCGTGGCCGAGTGACTCCGTCATTGACTATTTTCATGGTTTTAAAGTGTCACACAGACTTACCGTGTCGAGCATTTCCCTGGTGTGCGCGGCCGAAATGCAGAAGCGCGCTCGGGATTCGATGATGGGCGTCGCCGGGAAGCCGACGACCACCGTGCCGATGTTCCGCTTTAACATCTCTCGACCGAAGGCCCTGAAATGCAAAAAGGAGATGATTCGACACGCTCACGTTTCCTCCGTGATCCGATCTACGCAGACGCGTATGACAACGGACCCGATTTTGGCGGGCATGTAGAGCATCACGGGTACGACGGGAGAGTCGCTGTTGCCATAGATGATGACGCCCATCTCGCAAAGTTTCCTGCGGAAGTAGGTTGTGTTCTCTGACAGCTGGCGGAGGCGGTCGGCACCTGGAGACGATGGACAGACGTAACGCCGTTATTGTGAGAGATTTCCAAAGGTGGGCCGAAGCTCGTTTTTCCAAATGGTCAAGAGCAATATGCTTTGAAAACAGGGAGGAGAGTACAATCCATCAACCCAAAGAAGACAAGTAACACCCACGCGGAAATCATCTTCATGACAGTTCAGATCTCAAATAATGATCTCCTTATTGCTATCCATATCCTTTACCAATCATACTCGGATTCATTCCATACACACAAGCAACAGAAAGCCGTGTGAGATGATGTCGGTAAACCCGTCGAAGCCATGTTATGGCGAAAGCAGCCATAAGTGAAAACAGCGCTGCAGGTGGGAAATTAGCGTCTTGGACACCTCCGCATTATTTGTCGTCATTGATCCAAGTTTCCCACAGATGGCCAAGAGATGGAAAAAGCCTGCACATTGATGCAACTTTCCCCCCTTGATGACTTATGAAGTCATTACAGCCCGCCTTCGAATCGCAGAACAAGTCCATTATCTGGGAAAAAATCACGTGCACAAGCATAGTTTGGTCCTCGGAATTTGCCTTTGAAGACAGCCAGAATTCATTAAGACGGAGGTCAGCGGAGGTGAAGTTAAACAGGCATCCATCCTCTGATGTCTGCCTGATGCGGACTGCGGATTCGCCCAAATGGCGCAACGTGCCAGCAGCAACATACTCGGACATCTGTCTGACTGAGCAGGAAAAATATGCAAAACGCGAACTTCAAAGCACTCATGACAAACCACCTAGCCTGAAATTATCTTTTTTTTTTTTTTTTTTGTTTTTGAGGCAAGTATAGAAAGAATGAAACGCACCCAACTCAACGCACTGCTGGTAACGAAACCGAAATTCAGACAGTTGTACTAAGCATTGTTTCATATTCACATCTCACGCCTCCATGTCGCATCCGTACATATGACGGTTGCGATTTCATGCGGGGAAACTATGACGAGCTGTTTGTGTAAAGGAAACGCTCTGGCTAGCTAACAGCTCCAACTCGGCACTCGCGTCTGGATCTTCAAAGACTTCAAGCAGGTGACGGGGGGCTGCAACATATCATGCTGTCATTGTAATTCTTCCACGAGGAAAACTCGAGCCAGCTCAGCCAGTCTGGTTATCTTCACGGCAGATGATGTTGCGAAAGGCCAGGCCTCCTGCCAGTGAAAAGAGCTCAGGTGTTTTACCTCTGCCAAGCACGAGGACTGCATCGTGTAAAAATGACAGCCACGTTGCGTGACGCATTCCATTTTAGGATTCTAATACCACTTTCGGCGCGGATCCAAATAAAACGAAATACATGATCCGTTTTTCACGGTTGCGGCCCGCTTGCGTGCGGGGCCTGAAATACCATTGAGTGCTTTATTTGTGTATGTAGATGTCTCCAACTGAGCTTGATCTCTACCGATCACCGGGCCCTCTGCACCATGCTGCTTTGTACCCAGAAGGAAGTCAAAGGAGCAAACATCTGAAAACAATCAAGGAAGCCCTAATCTATCATACAGCCGCTTCACAAAGTTACATCAGAAGCTTAAATTTGACTTTTATATATATATAGATAGACATAGCTATCAATATAATTATGATACAAGCCACCATAGTGATGACGGCGATAGAAACGGGACACGTGCTGGGCTATACTGACATCTTGTGGTCAAATACAACATCACAGTCGCATGTAAAGTACTATAGAGAGTCCAGTAATTGGGGATTTTTTGCTGTTTTTTTTTTTGTTTTTTTTTTTTGCTGCAGCTCAACAACTAGACTCGCCACACAACAAGCAACACAGCTGAATCTGACTGCACTCCCGTTGCAGCACTTTGGTCGAATGTGACGAGGCGGACGTCGAGTGCACACGAGTTTGAGTTGCCGTCGTCTTTCACATTCAAATCAGGTTGGTATGGAAACGCCTTTTATTTCTTTGCTCTCCAACCGGTCACCCAACGTTGCAGCAAGCAGTCTGGCACAGAGTAGCGTCGGGCGGCGTAGAACCTACCCAGTGTGGTGCCATCTTCTCCCATGATGATTTTCATTGAGGTGATGATTTGCTGGGCCACGGGTGGCGGCATGGAGGTGGCGTACAGGGCGCTGTGAGAATGTTGCCGCAGGTAATCGATCAGCTCCTACCAGGGGAAGAACTAACATTTTAAGAACATGCACAACTTGCGTGGAGTCACCAAAGCTCTGAAGCACACAGCTATTGATATATTTGCTGGTGTCTGCTCACCTTTCTGCCTCCGATGTAACCCCCGGCGCCGCCAAAGCTTTTTGTGAACGTTCCCATCATGACGTCCACGTCTGTGGGATCGAGGCCAAAGTAGTCCACCACGCCTTTGCCGTTGGACCCCAGGGCCCCGATACTATGGGCCTCGTCCAGGTACACGTATGCCTTGTAGCGTTTCTTCAGGGCGATGACCTCCGGCAGACGCACGATGGAACCTTCCATACTTTGGGGGAAGGAAGTTAGACACATATTAAAACAAAGTATTTTATGATGCGGACATTTTATTGTCCTACTTCAAATTCAAGGAATCTTCACCCGGGAGACTTTACGGTATAACTTGCACACTTAAATGTTGATTTGGATTCATGTGTAGAGCACAGATTTAGCTCGGATTACCATTTCTTTGGCGATGCATAAGCGCCATCTATCTATTTTAACGATCTGACTGTTTGCCTTGGAAAGCCCAGTGCAAATCAGACTCCATTAACATTGCATTAGGAAAAGGACATTGATTAAGTTGTAGCGGCTGTTTGGAAAGGGCATTGATCCCTCATGACTTACCGCGACAGAAAATGCACTCCAAGGAGAGTGGGAACAATTCCAAACTGCTGTGGATTTTATATTTTGACAAAAAGAAATGTGGATTCGCTCAGGGTTTTTTTTCTCTTTTTTTTACACTGACTCATTGATATTAAAATGCTACTTTTACACCCAGAGATTTTTTTTTAGAACACAGAACACATCTGGCAGAAATATTTTGACAATGTTACAAACACAAATTGAAATATCTGAGTTTAGATGTGTTTATGCCATATATGATGATGCTTCACCTGTAAATGCCCTCCACCAAAATGAGAATTTTTCTCCAGGGCCGATGTGTCCTCGGCTGTCCGTGTACGATGGCGTCTCGCAGGAGTTTCTCAAGGCTTTGCATGTCTACGAGCAACGGCAAGAGCTGCTGTTAAAAATGCGGAACGCTCGAGCAAGTGCTCCGATCGGTTGCTTTGAACGCGACGTGCGTACCGCTGTCAACGGTTATGGAAAAGGCCACCTACTGTTGTGTTTGAAGACCCGAATTGTTGAGCCGGAAAGACGGGCACCCAGCACCAGTGACGCATGATTCAGCTCGTCGCTTAGGATGAGACACCCCTGGAACAAAACAATGGGAACACATTCAAATTGAGTTTGCAGAAGTCACAAGAGGCGTGACAAAAAAAAAAAAAAAAAAAAAAAACCAAAAAACAAATCAAATCAGGTTTAATCAGGCACATTAACTGTATATCACTGCATTGCTATATCAAAATGTTTCAGAAACTGTGATTTGCATTCCCCTTTTGCACCACAAACATTACCAAGCAGCCAAATGAGACTTCATTAACGGCCTCAACAAGTTCCCACTGAATGACACGCCCCTGCGCACAATAAAAAGGCTTCGGATGAAAGAGGGGAGAAATAAGACGCAGAGATAATATGGCCGAAAGCCATGATGCAAAAGATTTAGGTATCGATATTTGCAAAGAGGAACGTAAGAGCGCACAATGTCACATTGTGGCGATTTCGGCATTGAGCAATCCAAGACGAGGCCCAAACACATGAACTGAAACCACTTCTCTGAAATCTACAGAACTTAATCTTGAGGCACATTGCAATATGCTCATTTGCTCATTAGTATGCCTCCGGGTCACATCGGCCAATAAATGAATGAAGCTCGTGCAAAATGCGAAATGGAGCCATGAAGAAAAAAAAAGGAGGGAATAAAAATATGCCGCAACAGGATTAGACTCAGGCAAGAATGTGGGTGGCTTCTTGCCAAGGGCGGCGGCTCTTTCACCGCCTACCGTTTGCACCTCTGCACGCTGCATTTGCTACTTCCTGTTCCAACACTGACTATCAAAGTAAGTAGAAAGTGATCGGATTGCCTCGGGTTTAGACCAACAGTGGCAGCGACTCTTTCAACAAAAGCGGCTCGACTCAAACAATTTTGAAATCTTGGAACGGTCTGACCTGTTCCGCGTTGGCCCTTCATTTGTTTTCAGTTAAAATCAGTAACAGGAAGCCACGTTAGCTCCGTACAAGTCAAATTTGTCCTCCTGAGATTACAGTATGGGGACAATGTGTTTCGTCAGAAGCAATAGCACGCCTGATGGAGAACAAAAGAAGAAAAGGAAGAGAGTGAATTTCCGTACCTTGCCGGTAAGTGCAGGAATGTTCATGGAATTAGTGGCAAAGCCCATCCCGAAGGTCATAGCTGACTCGACCCCTAGGAACCTGGCAACCAACTGCTCCAGCTCCTCATGGATGTCGAGGTTCCCTGGAACGCGCAACATGTTTACGTGGTCACAGGTGCTCTTTTAGTCAATAACAAACATGTTTCACTTGAGTCAAAACGCGCTTCGTTTGGCTTCTCAAATTCGCTCCGATCACAGACACGGGGAGTTCTCTCACCTAATTCGCAGCGAGTGCTGCCCACTCCCACGCCATACTTTTGTGTGACCTCAACGGCAGCGTCAGCACAAGCCCCGGTGTTCTCGGCAAAGCCCAGGTAATTGTACGAGCCCATGTTGATGACATCCTGCACCACGTTGCCCGTGTGCCTGAAAGGAGAGCGAGACAATGAGACTCGGGGACGGAGGACAACAACCCGGGGTCAGGAGAGAATCATTAACTTTTAACATGTGGCCAGCGGTAGCTGTGCAAACATTTCCTGTTCAAGCGTTGTTGTTTAAATGCCCCAGTCACGCAGCAGCGGGACATTACGCAACAGTTTATCTCAAGGAAATTCAGCTGCAGCACAACAAGGCATATTTGACACATTCCGATCTTGATAAAAACGGCGGCGGAGAGAAAGCCAACACGCCCTTTTGAAAGAGTCATTCCTAAACTTTCTCAACGATGAAGGTAGTTTAGTCATGGTGGCGGGACTTGTAAACTATCGCGTGATTTACGAGAGATGAGTTACGTACGACACAATTAACGCTGCGGCTTCATGTGGTGGCGGTAAAAAGATAAGAAGCAGAAAAAAAAACATGTCCCACAGGAGGGCCGGGATTTCACAAAAATACTTTTTAAGAACAGTTGTACAGCAGCAATTTGTTTGTAAAAAAAGAAAAAAAAAATCTCTAGTGTGCACACTTGCCGAACCAACATCAACCATCAGAGTTTGCATCTGTTTCAGTTTTCAAGGTTATTATTTCTCATGATACATTCGCCATGTTTATTTTTTCACATCATAAAACCTTTGAGACGAACAAAGTCAACAGATGAAGTACCTCCCTAATCAAACCTAAGGGGGGGTGTTAACTTTCTTGATCCAATATGCACAACAGGCTAAGTTACTATGTCAGAGTCATGTGACTTGCCATATCAATATGCTTTTTCATTTCACGGCAGACGCGTGAACTGAACCCGGTTCTGAATCAACCTCTTGCACTCGTCACCATTCAAATCAACTTACTGGAAGGTCCAGTTGTAATCTGGGGAAACTCGCTCCACGAGGTTCATCTTTGCCCCGGGAACGCTACAGATGGGTCGGTTCCAGTTGTCTCGGATCCTCATGTACAAGTTCCTGGTGTAAAAGTTCTCAAAGTCTTGATAGAGTGGGACAAAGTCCTAGCGAGGAAAAGAGCACCCGTGAGGGCATGCCGAGGAAACAAAGCAGACCACGGAGCCGTGGTCAAACCGAAACCAGTGAGAGCGAATCCGCCGACCGGCACCGGTGCATACGGATCGCATTCCGACTGACCTTTTGCTCTTCCCGCTCTCGGGCCATGGTGCATTTCCCGATGTTCCAGTGGCGGAGAAAGTCCCGGAGGTAGCCGAAGATGGTGAGGATGCCGTAGCCCACGTAGGTAAGCACGGCCACCAGTAGAGGAGTCTGCTCAAATGATTCCACAAAGGGCCTCTTGTACAGGCTCGAGTTGTGTGCGCCATGTTGGTTCTGCGGGGGGGGGACAAAACAAGCATTATCATTACTACAACCTCCGCTTCCTCAGGCGCAATTTTGAAATGCGGCGGGGTGGAGTGGTCGTCACGCGATTGGGGGTTCGAGTTGACAATTTTCAATGCTCGTGCCTACTTGCGGTTACCCGTACACCTTGTATTCTTCAGGGAGAATTCAAAAAATAAGACTCAGATGTGGCTGAGACAATCACTAACCTAACGCCGTCAACATTACAGTCAATAGCTGCATGGCAAACAGTATACGAACAGCGATAAAATAATTCTCTCAAAACAACCTAACAACAAACAATAAGCCAACTACAACACTCAACATCACTTGGGATGTCGAGTGTGGCGGCTTAGCAGCACCTCATGTGATCAGTCATGCTTCTCTCCTTGAAACATCTCTGAGCACTGCAGAGCGTGAGCATTTAAAACCAGTTGGACGTGACCTTCCCTTCATGGAGGATACAGGAAATTGGCCGAAAGAGTCTGTTGCGTACCGGTGCCCACCACAATCCAAACCTCTGCACTCACTTTAACGCCTCAGTTGTAAAACAGTACACAAAAATCAACAGACACAACCCACACCGCTATTTGGCCAACCAAACTCAAGAGTCTCGCTTTTTTTCTTTGGCGTGCGTGTGGCAGATTTGCTCGGTTGAGAAACAAGAACAAGAGAGATATTTTGATGCCAGGCTTCACGGCTAAACGCAAAAAGATATTCATGACAAGATATGAATGCCGATGTTGTCACACATCAAATAAGCTGATTGCAGGATGGCAGGATGTGTGAGAGTTGTGGCACTATCCCGCTTTGTTGGGATCTGTATAAGACTCCCAGGTGTATAAATAGCGAATCGAATGGTATTCAGCCTTGATGTGCCAATTGTGGGGGGAAAAAAACAGCTCACAGTATGATGCAGAGCAGTTCTACAGGGCTGCAAACTACAAGCACAAAATAGTATCATATACTGGACTATATAATAACATTGTCAAATTACTCTCTGACAGTGTCAGTCAAAGGTGTTATAATTCTTCTGGTGGAAATTTACAATACAACATCGAAATCGAAAGGCACCTCGTGTGGTCAGTGATTGTAAACAATCAGAAATCTGCAGATTACAAATGCAACTCTGGAGTTTTAGTTTGGAATGTAAGAATCTAAAACCAAAGAGCAATTGGACACAACTACAAATGAATAAAAAAAGCCACGCATGCATGCATGCATGCCCGACCTCCATTACTAAACTATGTTTTTGATTCCGCGGTGGAAGCAACCGCACCCTTGACAACACAGAGACATTCCTCCTCGTTTAAGTGTCATGTGGAAGCGGGCTGGCGCGTCTCTCCCCGGAGACACCAAGTCCTAACACAACAGGCCCTGGTCTTCATCTTCACATTAGCCAAGGTAAACATAAACCTGTCTGACTTCACAATGACACTTGCTGGACAGAAAAAAAAAACACACACAACTGAGTGTAAGATTACAAAGAGCTACACAACAGTGGACCTTCAGGTAGTGTAGGCCACTGTTACAAAATAATTAACAAGAACAACAACTTTAATTTGCATTTGTAATATCCATCCATCCATCCATTTTCTAATCATCTTAGCCTCACGAGGGTCGGGGGTACATCAGTCATATGATCACATCCAAAAAAAAAAGGGGGATTCAAATAATTTCCAGTCATTAAGAAAGCTAGACAGACTGTTCAACAAAAGAACTCAAATGTTGACGATGGGTGCCAGAAATGACAATATATACATTACTTACATGAAGAATACGACCAAGCCAAGTCTGCAGAAATACCGCATCGGTTACACTACATTACGCACGCTAATGTTTTGGTATGGACAAACCCCAAATACTTTTATCATTACGATCAATGTATGTTGTTTTTAATTCATCAAAGCATTTCAACGTGGTTCTGTCTGGCTGTGTTGACACGAAGGAAAAGATTAACTCTGCCTAGTCTGCCGACGAACGTGGGCCAGCTTGGGTTTTATTCATAAATGAACAGTTATCTATTTATAAACGTAACGCTGTAATGCTCATCGTCAAACTAACCAACAAACCCAGCTATTTATAATATTAGAATATGTTTAAAATATGTAAATATTTCATGCACATTTTTGAAATAGTTCGGGGCCGTCTCCACGAAACAGTTGAGGGCCGGCCGGGCCGGGCGGGCGGGCCTCACCTTCTCCCCGGGGCAACGATACTTCTGTGGCTGTTGAAACAGGCAGTGGTTCTTCACGAAGCCATTTTTGCTCGCTTTTTGACCGCTCGAAGTCCGACGACAAGCGTCTCCGTTGAGTAGCTTGTTGGCGGAGCTTTCCGTCATCTCTGTCGGCTCACCGGGGCGGAACGTATCACAAATTGAAGTAGCCCAACTTGGGTGCGGATAATCGGGAAGTCATGTATGAACTCCGAGAAACGTTCGTTTCTACGCCCACCGCGCTGCGTCTGCACTGGCACACCGGAAGTACACGCCCCTGACGCGCTCCGATTCGCCAATGCGCTTGGTCGCCTACAAAAATCGTCTATTAAAAATAAGATCCCCCCAAATAAAATACTGGGCAATATTTTTAGTGGGCTGTCGCACAAATTAAGTGAGACTTTGTGAATTAGATATTTTTGCATTTCGAACAAAACATGAATATTACGAGTGACACTCAACATTAGAATTTTTTCAACGGCAGCACTCCAAGGAAAACAGAGTGAGTCATCTTACTCTCTTTTAAATCCTGGTCAAGCTCTTCCGATGGAAACAACCCATAATAACCTTTGGTCAGGCGTCAACCTAATCCTGTTGATGACGTGTTATTCACCTGAGCAGGACAAGGTCAAAGGCTATCCCCAGAGTGAGTCATCGGAAGTTGCCATTAATGTCATACTGTATGTTAGTATATGATGTTGTAAAGAAGAACAGCAATCTCTATCCGTGCCTATACCGTCACAAAGCTAAAATGCAAAGATAAATAAATACATACATACATAAATCACGGAGCACTGTAATTCTGGCCAGAGCTGACTCATATAGGACCCAAAGCAAAATTTAATTTAGGGGCCAGCAATTTGTGCTAATACTGTATTGATTGGTCAACAGCAAATTTTAATCAGGGATGGCTTGATCTGATGATCTTTTCATATTTCTGGATTTGTATTTGTTTTGTTTTCATGTGCAAATAACAGCAGTACGAACCTTAAATTACTGTACATATTCCTGCTCCGAGATTGCACTATTGGGCCACAGAAAAAATTGATATCTTCACTTTACCTGCAGTGTTTATGCTTGTGCTGTAAGGTTCCTGTTCAATACCTGGAGGCACTGATGCGCAGCCCAGTGTTTAAAAGATGTGACATCCATGATTAAGGCATCCATGATAACATCAGATGATTTGATTCGTTAATCCATTTCCGAGCCTTTGCTTTTTTTTTTTTCTTTTTGTTCCCACTGAAGGTTGTAACCTTGAGTGGAGAATAATGAAACATCGGTCCTTAAAGCTGTTGCCACGACACAGAGAAGCACTCAAGCTCCCGTCCATTCCAAACTAGATCACGGTGATAAGAAAGCAGCTTTAATAGGATCACCGCTGGGGTTAGATGGAAAGTGGATCAGCGTTCATTGATGCAGCCAGTACACTTTTATAGTATACATTGAAGAAGAAGCCATACAGTATAACTACTATATATAGAAAAATACGCAGGCTTCAGCTGAATGAATGATCTTGAAATGCAACTATAACCAATGATTATTTCTTTCGGCATTACAAACAGTCAAGGAGTGATTCCATGACCTTATGAACTCACAAGAAAGGATGTAAAGACAGATGCAATCGCTAGATAATCTGGACAACAATATGGTCACAGGATTGAGGCCTTGACAAATCCATGCAAATGTCATTTCCTGAAGTCCCCAGTTTAAAATCACATGAGCATGGGTGTACCCAACACTCTGTTGACTCTGCTTTCACTTCGGCGATACGGTTAACTTTCTTGCACAACCAAATGCGCAGCAATCTCTCCAACACGATGACCTCATGCTCAAGTCAAAGCTCTTTCCTGGAATAAAGATGACTTCCTGTCACTGCAAATCCCAGAGCGGTTGCCGCGCACTCCCATTACGGTCGGTTAGGGCCCAATACTGCTGCCGCTCTCCCACCAGGCTTCATTCTGACTGACACAACCATTAGAAATGGTTACGCTTGTCTAGCTCTTCCCTCCAAAATAGATTATCCAGCGAGTCCCACAGAGTGACAGACAGACCATTTTCCAGAGAGCAGTAGACTCTGTCTAACTCTTGACTGCTGGAATAATGATGAGCGAAGCCCCGGTCTCGATGTGGGGAGACGAGGACATAATGATGAAGGCACGGAGGGAGCTCAGGTTCTGGTGTTGCACGGCAGTATGATGGATGTCATCAACATACTGCCTACGTACGCCATATCCACACAAGAAATTTCAGACGCATCGAAACAGCTTTTGTGTCGAAAGTGCGACATCTTTGACAATTTCCTATAAAGACGGCGGGTGTGCTTCTGCTATCAGTCTTTTAATACAAAAGGTCACGAGGTCAGATCCCTGTCTTAACTTGGTGACCATTTATCAGCCAACTTATTTCTTTTCACTGCAAGGAGGAGGAAAGTGGAAATATCTCAAGAGAGATATTGTTTATTATTTCTGGGCTAAGCAACGATCTATCACGCCCTCTATCTGCAACCTGAGGATTCCATTGTGGCCCGACGCAATATGTCCAGAGCTGAACAACAGCAATGCCAGGGAACCAATTTCCTCTTAGTGTCATGAATGAGCATCCCATTCATCAAATCATAAAGATAGACAAGAGCCGCGTGGAAAGACATTATTGAGCTGGCCAAGCACCAACCGTGAAAAGACAGGCTGGAGGGACTGCGCCTTTTCTGTTGTTTTTGTGAGAGAAGTTTTCTTGATGGCCTTGGCAGCAGAAAGCCAATATTCCTCAGGCTGAAGCCTGCATACTGTATGTCCACACATCCCACTAATGACCCAACGGGGGAGCGATTCGCCGAGCTGCTGTGTGCCACATTGATCTGTTTGTGCCAACACTCCTGCTAGGGATTCACGATAACCTTGTTGACCTTTCCTCAACTCACAACAACTTGGCGTTTGAAAACTGCTACGGAGACTTTTTATAGCCACTGGAAATGTGGCTTGACAGACTGCTTCCATTCAATTTGCAAACGAGCAAGAATAATATGAATGATGTCCCCCACACCGCACCCGACAATCGTTGCAATTTTCTCCGTTTTGTAATTTACCCAGGTGAATAATTTTGCCGCAACTGTTTATGGCTTTCAAAAAGGCATGTAGATTTATTTGAAATAAGATTTGTACAATTGAAGCAGGAGTAAGAAACGAGGTTGTCCTCAAGTAAATTTATTCCATAGTTGTACAAGGATTACAAGGATCTTTTGCTTTCAAACTGTGGGTACGTAGGTGCCGTCAAATGTAGGAAAACGCTAACAACACCTACGCGGGCATCGTAAATATTACACAACTGACACAAAAACAATGTGTTCAGGGGAAAAAAAAAGTATTTGATGTGTGTGAAATTAGAACTCACCTAAATCTATACACTTGCAGGACAGAAGCTGCTATTTTACCTTCTGCATTGGTCGCACTGTACATAAAAAAAAGAGGATTCAAAGTGTGATTTTGACACAGGCTGCCAAAAAAAAAAAAAAAAGACAACTCCCTCTGAGTGAGTGTGTAGACAACAAACATCCCTTCTCTCGGGCATGACCATGAGGCCTCATTCCTTTCTACGCTTTTTGTCGTGGTAGTCGTCCTTGGAGCGGCTGCTGGTGGACGCTCTCTTGGAGCCGCCGTGCTGCTTGGCTTCCTCCAAGAATTTGTCCAGACCGAAGGGGTCCTCCTCAAACTGGACAGGCCCCTCGCGCCTCTGCCCGTGATCAGCCCCCGAGAACTCCTTGTCGGGAACAAACCTGAAAGAAGGAAGCGCAATTCGATTCTGTACCTTCCTTCCACTTCCCAAAATTGGTTTGCAGGAAGCATCTGCCGTCTGGTGAATATGCACTTTCAACTTTTCAAACTAAACTTTCTAAGCCAGCGATAGAATCAGAGCTTTTAAATATAATTGTCCCCTCTACGCCCGTTTCTGCATGCCTGAGCTTATCACACTAAACCATACTTTGAATTAAGCTCATCTGATAAAGCTGTTGCTTCGAAAAGAAAAGTGAGTTTTCTAATTAGTGCGCCCGCAGGAATTAGAGCATATGTCACCAAACTAAATGCATGCCTTTGAAAAAGTATAGGCACGATGCGTCGCAAGATCAACAAAGCTACGTTGACATGCCCTGAGCAACTGCACTATCCAACTCTTACATGACTGGTAGCCAATAAAGAATATACTGGAAGGGTTGCATGTACTGCGGTAATACAGTGTGCGAGTCCAAATACCTGTTGTTTTGCATGAGTGTGTCAAAGTCATCAGCATAGGCGTCCTTGTCGATGGCTTTGCTGGGTCGGTAGATGTTGGAGGCCATGTCTCGGCCACCGCGGAAAGGCTGGTCATACACGTTGTACGTCTCGTCCTCGCCGCCGGCAAAGCCGCTATCCATTCCCTGGGAAGACGACAAAGGTAAGTGAACGGACACTTTAGGTAGCAATCTATATGGCCGATCCATTTGAAGCGCGGCATGTTAAAGACCTGCTTCAGGCTTAAAAAAAAACCTCAAAACATTATTGTCCAAACTGACTGTAATGTCACTGAATACAGAGAGGAAAACTAATAACTTGGGTCACGCCGTAGAAAACTCACTTTACTCTGGTTGAAAAGTCGTTGGTCATACTGGGCCTCGTTGGTGGTGCGAGGGTTGGGCACACCCAGAGCGATGAGCTCACTAATGTCTCGGTCCTGGTCCCTCTGCAGTTTGGATCTGAAAGAAAGAGAAAACGTTGTATGACTCGAACAAGGACTTTCTATATATAAGGAAATGCAGACTTTCTCGATGGACAAGTGGAAGATTGAGTGCGTCCGGCACCTCTTGTCAGGAGCTGCCCTGGAAATGTTTCTGTCGTGTTGTCTCTCCTTCCTTCTGTCGTGGCGGATCTCGTCACGCTCCCTTGCCTCTCCATCCTCGCCACCTTGATCCAGTATAGAAGAGAAAAAGAAAAATTTGAGAAAAAAACAAAAACAAAACGGGGATTTGCGATATGTTTTAAAGGATATGCAAACCCCAAATCCACACATACAACTACAACAAGCATCTCACCTTTGTCCCCGTGACTTTTAATTCCCGCTCTGCGATCTCGGGCCATTTGGGCTAACTCCCTGAGTTTCTCCTCTTTCTTTTCTTTCTCCTTCTGGGCCATCTTCTTTTCTACCTGGGCTCTCATCTCCACCGCCTCTCTGGCCTGTAGACACAAGCCAAAGGTGGTGTCGTTCATTTCAAACTCTGTACACCGTAATAAACAAATTGGGCAGACGCAGTGGTCGATGACCAAGTAATCTGAGTAGAACAAGAAACAAGTTAGTTTTCTTTCTTTCCATCACAATGTTGCCTTATACAAACCACTGATTGTTAAATTCTCCCTCAGGTGCAAGGCATATGATTACTTTTCTATCAGCGATGTAGAGCGCCTCAGCCAGCTTGGCAAAGTTTTCATTGATGTGAACTGTTTGCAGCCCTCTGCCATCAGCCGCCAGGCGCTTGTCGAGAGGAATGGTGTAACCCTGAAACAAGGACAACAGTGACCGGTCAGAAAGAGGCAGAGAGTCACATTCAAGTCACAGAAATTTGATTTTGGTGGTACGTTACCTTGGCGTTCTTCCAGTTGGAGATGCACGGAGGAATCTTCCACTCCTGCTGTTCCTTCACTGTCATCTAAAACCAAGAGGAGGTGTTGAAAATTCTTTGCTTTCAAATGTGGTTGAGAGACTGGAGGGCAAAGGAGTAGCTTATGATGGAATTGAGGTCAAACAGTAGCCCATCACGAACCAATCGCGCCATAAACCGAGTAGCCACTGTACACCCTCATAAAACGTGCAATTCCAATCGTACCTTTCTGCTTGGAGAGTGCATGACAGGTGCCGGTGGAGACGGAGGTCCACGGGGAATCTTCTTGTTGATCCTGTCACAAATCGACTCTTAATCAGGTTCTTTAAGGTGAAGCAGATTGTTCAAAAGCGGCTGCTGGATGACATTTGTCGAATATAAGGAGCGGGGCATGATTACTTAAAACGCGGCGGTTCCATGGGGTCTCTCTGCATTTCCACCATGCGGATGACTCTTTGTTTGGCTCCAGAGTTGAAAGCCACTCCCTGCTGGGACGGGGTGTACCTGATGGACAGACAGAAGCAGATAACTTTAGACACGCAAATGTTTCATGTACAAGATATTGCATTCTTGGGGCTGCGTGCTGACGAGCACATCATCACATGCACATCTGTGTGGGGCCCTTCTTTCTTCGGACTGGCCAACAAGGGCCACCCACCTACTAAAGTCGCGTGAGAACGCCTTGTGTATTTTTGCCGCATGACACAATCTTTTCAACTTGCAAACAATTCAGACTTTCCTCCAGCGACTGTCATGGTGAGAATTGATACCTGATGTACTGTGCTGGGGCCTGTTTGTCTGCTGCTCGCACAGGCATGGCGGCAGCAATCTTTTGTGATACCTGCTTGCTGAGGGCAGCACGGGTCTTCTCAGTCAGCTAAAAGGAGGAGCCACAAAGCACAAAAAAAGTCAGTCTCATGGACCGTGATTCTTTTATGTACCGTCCTCTTGTTTACATCGCGAATAAAAACGCGTATGCACGATACAGCAAGGAAACAATATTTCTTGAATAACATGCACCACATTTTACCTCTTGAACAGCTTCCTCATCAGGCTTCTGTAGTTCTGGGGTGTCGTCATTCATAACCTCTTTGGGAAGTAGATCTGTATACTTACTGAAGATCACCTACCATGAGAAACGGCAGTAAATGACCATGTTAGATTCTGCCGGGCATTGTCTGAAAAATTGGTCGGCTAAGCCTCGCTATCTTTTCATCTCTGAATTTAGATGTTTAACTTCACGTTTGTGCAAATTCGGTGTTTTGATTGCATACCTTTTCCTTGCTTTGTCCCTGTCTTGCAATGGCATCATATTTTACTTTTCCTTCCGCATCAACCTGCATTGTCAATGCATTGGAGGTTTTCTTTTGCCGACCCATCTCCAGAGGAAACTGTGCCACGTGGATCTCTGGGAAAGCTCCCCCATCTCCAAAGTCCTAAAAGAGAATAAGAATTTGGAAATATGGTGAGAACCATATGCATGGTTTCATCCATTCATAAGTATGAGGCAAGCATTTTGACCGTAACTGTCAAGACATTGGCAATCAATTAACGAGGTTTGAGCTATGTGGGAGGCAATCCTTACACACTTACACAGTGCACCTGAGCTCCCACTCCCCCAGAAAAGTAAATTCATTGACCTGTGATGGTCTTTTTAATTTTTTAAACGTTATTAATTTTCAATCGACGCACATATCTGTATGTCTGAAGCTGAACATTGATTCCTACCTCGACAACGCGAGGCACCCATCCATTTCTATGTCCATAAGGTGGTGGTTCTCTTCGGGAAGCAACCAAGGCAGTTGAGAACGACTTCTGGGCACGAAGTCTGTCCTCTGCTTCCAGTTGGTCTTGTGACAGCTGGGTGGGCGCCGGTAAAAAGCTACAGACAAAATAATGTATATCATCCAATTTCGCTGGATCGCGTGCTAAAAACGTAGCTGATACAAATGATTGCATATTAATAAATATAACAGTGCAACGTCGGTATGTCGACAATGTGTGTGGCCTGCTATGCTATAGCTAGCTTCGCGATTGAAACACTACACAGCAGCTCATGGTGGTCACCACTGACGGATCAGACCGGTTGAAATAATCGTACATAAGGGTCGATTCCATAGGACAGACGTAAAATGTATTTTTTTTTCAAATCATCATCAATTAAGGACACAAAAAGCCTTGTCGGGAAGCTTACCTCGTCAGAGACATTTTCTTTCCGTAGCGACCGTTTTCCGCTTTCTTCTTCGATGGAAGTTAATGTGGCAACTAGCATCCTTTCAATTACAGTACTGACACCTTCTGGCTGACGATAGGAACTACTTTGCTACTCCGTTTGGCTACTGGGTTGTTTACAGCAGTGTTTAGTCAATTGTGAGTAAATTGGGAGGATATGAATAATTTCATTATTCATACTTTTTGGGACAATTTTGTTTGGAATTATGCAATGAGATTTTTCGAATGTAAAATAGGCGCTGGGTCAATATGGTTTCGTAAACAATTGTTTTGCACGTTCTCTGTGCTGGAAAATGCGGACATTGGAGTGCACCAAAATCGTTGGAGGATGCGGGCATCGATCCCGCTACCTCTCGCATGCTAAGCGAGCGCTCTACCATTTGAGCTAATCCCCCACTAGCATTGCTTTTGCACACGTAGGTTGTGTTGGTCAGCGGAGGATTTTGTGCTGGAAAATGCGGATATTGAAGTGCACGAAAATGGTTGGAGGATGCGGGCATCGATCCCGCTACCTCTCGCATGCTAAGCGAGCGCTCTACCATTTGAGCTAATCCCCCACTAAGACTCTTCCCGCCCACGGAGGTCGTGTTCGTCAGCGGAGGTTCTTGTGCTGGAAAATGCGCATATTGAAGTGCATCAAAAGATTTGGAGCATGCGTGCTTCGAAATCAATGCGAAGTGTTCCAAAAGAACTGGAGGATGCGGGCATCGATCCCGCTACCTCTCGCATGCTAAGCGAGCGCTCTACCATTTGAGCTAATCCCCCTACAGGGATCATTTGACTAAGCGTGTCTTTTATATAAAATGTTCTGTGGTGAGTCCCTGAAAATCGGTCTAAATGTTGAAAAAAAAAGACAAAAATCACTTGGAAATCGAGACTCTGTGTGGGCAGAATCATACGTTTTGACTCCCTCCGCTCTGCAGCCAGGAATGTGGAATGGTGCAATCGTCCACTTAAACGAAAAATCCAGAACTTGACATGCACAGTACTGCACTCTTCTTGTCTGCACATGCAAAAAAATATTATCTGAGCATCGTTATATTGCCGTAACAGCAAATTCAGTAGTAGTGGGGGATTAGCTCAAATGGTAGAGCGCTCGCTTAGCATGCGAGAGGTAGCGGGATCGATGCCCGCATCCTCCAACTTTTCGATTGTTTTGCATGCACAGATGCTAAGCGAGCGCTCTACCATTTGAGCTAATCCCCCTACAGGGATCATTTGACTAAGCGTGTCTTTTATATAAAATGTTCTGTGGTGAGTCCCTGAAAATCGGTCTAAATGTTGAAAAAAAAAGACAAAAATCACTTGGAAATCGAGACTCTGTGTGGGCAGAATCATACGTTTTGACTCCCTCCGCTCTGCAGCCAGGAATGTGGAATGGTGCAATCGTCCACTTAAACGAAAAATCCAGAACTTGACATGCACAGTACTGCACTCTTCTTGTCTGCACATGCAAAAAAATATTATCTGAGCATCGTTATATTGCCGTAACAGCAAATTCAGTAGTAGTGGGGGATTAGCTCAAATGGTAGAGCGCTCGCTTAGCATGCGAGAGGTAGCGGGATCGATGCCCGCATCCTCCAACTTTTCGATTGTTTTGCATGCACAGTATTGACATCGGAATATATTTTGGTGGGGATTTAGAGTAGCGAGTAAATTCCAGGACTGTGGATTTTTTTCCCCAGGGAATTTATGTTGACAACCTTAGGAAACGCGATGGGAAGATGTTTTTCACGCATAGAAGTGGAAGCAACTCAGCTTGTTTACAAAAAGTCACAACTTTCTTCTCCTCATTAAGTGCACTATACAAATTAAGAGGGGAACATTTTATTTGCAGTTATTTTTTTCGCCGTTGTACCAAACTAGGTACAGTATTGCCATGCCTATTATACTAGATTACTTTGGCCACTTCTGACATTGTGACCCTTTGTGTTGTCTAATCCCAAAATGCTGGATTATCTCATTTCCACCCATTGTGCACACTTCCACACATAGCTATTTGCAGGAAATACACACCTGAAGTCAAAGAAGTCTTTATTACAAATCATTTATTGACATAACTCCTCCACATCCATCCAAATGTCTTTCACGTGGAGAGTGATGAGGATCAGCTAGTGCACAATGTTTTCATGTAGAGGGTGACATTGTTATACTGTCATGTGGCTGAGAACACTGGTCAGGATTCCTTCAAGGTCCTGATACAAAATAAGAATCTATGAGGACGCATACTTTGACCAAAAAGAAAAAAAAAAAAAAAAAAAAACACACACTTGTGGATTCTGATTTCAGTTAACAGAGAAGACACAGATTGAAATCAAATAAAACAACACCATACGTCAGCCATCCTGCCATTTAACAGCAACAGTGGATCCCAATACATTTTTGGGGGCTTTTCGGATTGTGAATTCGCCAGCAGACTTTCGCCGACATTGACGGTTTTACACGAGACCAATGTACGCGTACACGCTCACAGTCACACACAAATTGGATGCAGTTAACTTTCTAGTCAGTACGGCGAGGAATTTAACTAACATGATGTTCACAGTAGAAAACTCAACCAGACATCCAGCAGTGAAAAAGGACTGGTAGGGGGAGGGGGGGGGGCATATATACACTCAACACATTGAGCTTGTTGATTTAAAAAAAATGTAGTCAAAAACAACTAACAGAAGAGTTCGTTTTGACCCTTCAGTGTCCAATCACAGTTTAAGAGTAGCGGACGTGGTGTGAAAGGCAACCTCAGACAGGGTTCGCCTTGTGTATTTGACCATTGTGAGTGTGCGCGCGTTGTGTGTTACGCGGCAGTCAGCAGCTCCTGAGCCCACGTCGTGATGGCCGACGTCGTGTGTTGAAGCAGCTGCCATGTTGAGTTGGTCAAGGACAACGCGTGACCTCTCAGACACGAGATAGATACTTCACCACTGTGGCGGGCAAGGCGGGGGTGATCAAAATGTAATTATTAAATGTTGTGCTCGGTTATCAATAAAATATTTGCATTACTGAAGAAGTTACTTACTCGCAGGAGTCCTTAAGGCTGGTCCAAGCTTGTTGTAGCAGGTCAATTAAAAACGCCAACACTGGCAAGATGTAGTTTTGGTGGAGGAAGAGGAGCAGCGCTTTCAGAGAAGCCAAAACCTCGTATACACTGTCAGGCGTGTTCGTCTTCACCTGCAAACAAAATAATTGGGCCGGGGAAAAACAAAAAAAAAAAAAAATCAGAGTTGCCTGCTGGAGATATATGAATATGCATTTGGTATGCGGGTGTTTGGTTCAATTATATTCAAAGGATGTCTCACCCATTCTATGAGCAGCGGGCTGTTTTCTTTGACCCACACGGTGACGTGTTGGCTTTTTTCCGACATGATGAGGGCTGCCGTTTTGGTTTTCTCCAGGCCTTGTTCTAACAGTGGTTCCAATGCCCGCACACTCTCAGAGTAATAATATGGCATGTTTGTCTCCAGCCAGCTAAACACACACACACACATATACACAAGGCACACATTAACAGCAATGTCTACAGGTTTGATGGAGTCGACTGAAAAGAGAAATCCTGAACCTGAAGCCCTGCTTAGAGTGGACTACAATTTTGCCCCACGCCTGCTGCGACACAGCCATCACACCCGATCTGTGAAGATGTCTGGCTGTGGTTGAATCTGAAACACACCCCGGCAATGAGGCTACGAGAAACCCAAAGGACAAATTTGAATTGCTTGATTGTACAATCGAGGTATAAAACTTGTCATACTGTCGAAGGAGCCGTGAGATCGGATGTCCTGAATGATGAAACCGGCGACAAACACTAACAGGACCAACAATAGCTTTGACCACGAGAAGCCGCGTCCACGCATCTTCACCTGGAGACTCTGAGAACGAAAAATCATCCCTTGGAATGCTCACTGACATCATTTGGAGCAAAAGAAGAAAAACATTTGAACTTGAACATGTGACTGACCTGACACAGATTACTGCAGTCGCTAAGGTCCTTCGACTGGTTGTTTTCTTTCATCTCTTCATTGGTCACTTTAAAAGATTGAATTGTTTCTTCAAGATTCTTCCTTAGCTGAAAAGGGGGGTGGGGGGAAGGAACGTCATCGTGACGATGGGACCAGCAACTGAACTGAATGCACCATTGTGGCAGCCGAGCGACAAAAGCGTGCCCGCACCCGTCATGGCAAGCAAAACTAAAAGCACATTGAACACTTTTTCGGGGGTTTTTCAAAATACCTTTAGTGGTAGCGTATTCCAGCAGCCCAATAAATGGTTCAGCAGCAGACTAAGGAGGACAATATGACAGTCAGCCTTTTATACGGTCATTTTAAAATTATTAAAAAAAAAAAAGTGTGTGAGCGTATCTCACCTGGACTGAGCCAAGTGCTTGGTGTAGAGCTGCCTCCACACGCCCAAACTCTGACCGTCCACGCACAAGCACTCCGTCATACTGTTGAGCAACTGAAAAAAAGACGGAGGCAGAGTGTGAATTATTCTGCGGGGTTTCGCTTGGTGCGACGGCTGCAGAGAAGGCAAACATTTTCCCAGCACCTCTTTCTTCATGTCCTTCGGACAGTTTGGCGTGGCTCTCGACAAAAACGATGGCAAGTACGTGTGTAAGGTGCTCTCGGGCTTGCCTCCAAACGCTAAGGCCTTTAGACGAGGGTAAAGGCGCCGCAGCTGCTCCTGTAGACTGCAACACACGCACACAAATCGATATTCTGTCAATGTTGCAACTGAAATCCAAAACATAGTCAAAGGGCAAGCATGATGGAAAATGTACGTTTTAATGGCTTGCAAGCAAGGACTTGGGGATGGAGCGCCTGCCCACCCATCAATCATGAAATCAAACAACCAAGTCAATATTTTGAGATCTGATGTTCCGCGCCTTTTTTTCCCCCCTTTAATGTGTCTCTTCAAAGTCGAGGAAGGATGCTTTCATTGTACAAGAAAAAAAAAAAATATGCAAAGGGATGATCGTTTACCTTGATGACAGGGCATTCTTGGGCATGAAGGCAAAATCCAACAAAGGAAAGAACTCTTTCGGACCCATGATGCCAAATCCTTTTGTCAGGTTTCCATGGAGACTGGGAAAGGACAGCAAACATGGCAACGTGTCAGTTTTGTTGTTTGTCGGGAGAAGGCTTTCATTTCAAATACTCACTGGAGCAGCCTTTCCAGATAAGCGATGGCATACGACGACAGCGACTTCACTCCCAGGACAGGAAGCATGATACCAAGCCACACTGACAACAAAGTCAACAATGTTATTCTTACGAGTGACGCTGCATCCCGTGATCGCGTTTCACATTGCCGTTATCTCATACGGAGTCCAATGAGGATTGTGTTGCGGTCCGCCCAGAATTATGGGGCCAAAAAGCAGCCAGGCATGGAGCCACTGCGCGCTTGCTTCACTAACCCCCCCGCGCCACAAGTGTTACTTCAGCAAATTATTGCCAAAGTAGGAGAGAGGTGAGTCTGTCCACCGCACTGATGCGGTGCTTGGACCATCTCATCGTGTCTACAAATGAACTTAGAAGTGGAGCATTACCTTTTAGTCCCTGGCTCAGGTCATAAAAACCTGCTTGGCCCAGAGCCCACATGATGGTTAAACACCTGACGGGATGATTCTGCACTGAGCGCAGCAACTCCAAATACTGAGGAGGAAAGAGTGACCTGTTATTTTATTTTTTTTATTTATTATTATTTTGTTAAAAAAACAAAAAACAAAACCATAATAATAAAATGGTGCTCGACTCACCTCGGGCAAATTCTGAGTTGCCAGTTTGGGTTTGTCTTGTAGGACCGCTTGAATGCAAACTCTGTATCCGTGCAGTGGCTCACCTGGAAAAAACAAAGTGGCAGAAATATCGTCCCAAGGCACGTTCAAAGTTGACTGATCAAGACAGATAACTGACTATTTTGTAAGCCCCGCCCCCCTACCCGAGTGCCTCTCCAGTTCTCGGAGCATGCTGTAAACACAGTGGTCCAAGAAGTCCGGCAGGGAGTTGGTGCAGTTGGCAAGAATGCCTTTGATGACAGTCCTCAGCTCCTTGTTCGTAAGACAGTATGGGTAGTCTGAGGAGCCGCGAAAAGACGCCATGAAAATACTGTCACTCGTGACAAAATTCATAAGCGGACACGCACGTGCACACAAACACACACACACCGTGAGCATAACTGCTGAGTGTCGGCTCTGCCACCGGCGCCGTCAGCTTGAAGTTGAGGTATCCTGCCAGGTCTTTCGACCACACCGACGGGTTTTTGGGGAACAGCGACTGACTCTTCGCCATCTGTTCTTTCAGGTCGGCGAGGTCCAGCTAACGGCAGACATCGGGAGACATGAATGCCGCACATCAAACAAAGAGCCAATTGAGCAAAAGCTCCACTGGGATGCAGCATGTGATCGTGTGCCTCACAGCATCTCGCGTGCTAGCTTTTTTTTGTCTGGTGCATGATAGCAAAACGGTTCCACAAAGATACATGTTATCCAAGCCTTATCTTAGACATGGAGAAGATACACAGATAGATCCTCCTGTATTTTAACAACTTTAAAAGACACAAAATGTGGCATTCTGAGACAGTCCAAAGCTCCTAAAAAAACCTCAAATGTATCCTAAGATTTCGGGTACTCACCGCTTTAAAGGCCTCTTGCAGAGTCCTGTGAGTGGCAGTGGTGGGAGCACTTTTGGGGGACAACTTTTTGGATGATTTTGTCGAAGAGGACTTCTTATTTTGAGGCTGACTGGGCGGAACCTGCTCCTTGTTCTGTTGCTTTGAAATCTTCTCGAAGGCTTCAAACAAAGTGTCCGACATCACCGAGGGTTCTGGGGGGCACAAGGCAGTAGTGATCGGGTCTCTGCGGATAGGCCACACTCAATACTCTCAATAGCACTTGGTCTGACTGTGTGTGTGTGTGTCTGTGTGTGTTAAGAGTCATGAGCGTGTTGCAATCCCTGCCCCTTTTCTTGCTCCCGCCCCTCACAGGGCTGATTTTATCCTCATAATGAAGTGGGATTATTCAGGACAAAATACAGGCAGTACAAATTATACACACAGTCTTAATATTGTGCAACTGGGAGGAGAGATTGACTGCATCATGCAGACTAACTTTTTTGGGAGGATGATGCTGATTTTCTGCAGGAAAAAAAATATATAGATGAACAACTAATCGGACGATTCTGAAAATGTCCCTTACCGTAAACTGTGAATGTTTGTCTATGTGTTTCCTTCAATTGGTTACTGCCCAGTCCTGGGTGTATCCTGCCTTTCACCCAATCAACTGCGATAGGCTTCAGTTAACATGAGACCCCCATGAGGGTAAGCGTGTAGAAAGTGCAGCTCGATAATGGATGCAAGTGCTTGCAGTCACTAAATTACATTTGCGATCCGCTCTGCAATACTTTGGTCGCACTGATTAAATGACAACATGGTTATCATATTGAGGTCATATCTGTTTCCATTTTTTTCTAATCATGCTTAACAGATGCAAACTCGGAATGATGACGTTGCCTCTCTTGACACATCACGTCGGTGCTAGCTGCAGAATCGAGACGCGGAGCAACACATAATACATTTCGAAATTATGGCAAAGCCATTAACTCGAGTATCATTTAGAAAGTAAATTGTTCACGTATGGAAAAACAACATGGAATCCTTAATAGATAGGAAGTACAGCCTGACGCTGAGCTGGCTAGTTAGCTAGCTAGCCAGCTAATTTCCGGGCGCAGATCTTTAACAGTATATGATTTAATCTTTAATAGACAGCTTTTGGTTGTTGGAATCGAATGCACTGCACAGCTACATCCGTCGCTCCGAACTTCAATTCGAGACGACCCTGCTAAGACTGTGAACTCCAACGGCCACAGCGGGCCGTGGTGACTTACGTCTGGATGGCAGGTTGGACTCCCCCAGAGCTTTCCTGTTCCCGGAGTTGCCTTTCTTTTCCGCGGAGCTTTTACCACCTCCCGTACTGCTTTTCTTGCCTTTCTTCACTACCTCCCATTTACCGACCGCACCATTACTCGAGGCCATGATCCCGATCCCGATCCCAATCAATGCCCTGACTGCCTAACTGCGCACTGTCAGTGAATGAAAGAGGCT